TGCACAAGTACTCGAGCGCTCCACTTCACATGCTCCGTTGGCAAAAACAGCAGCATGTCTCTCCTTCTTGAGTTTCGTGCCTCTTCAAAACAATTTTATACACGCCCTATGCTTGCCTTCCACGTCCCAAAACCGCGGAATTTGAAACCACTTTGAAACGTATCCGTTGAGAATCGCCACAGGAACGATTCACCCGCGAAACCCACTTGGTCAAGCAACCCCACCCAGAACTCCCACATACAGCATACTAACGAAGCTATCTTCTTCTGAATTATGCGGGAACCAGACGAAGGTTCTCGAGAGCCTTGGCTGCCGCACCTCGGATTTGTCATTGATAAGGTCACCTGGCTGTAGACAGGTGACCTTAGCAGTTCCACCAAAAAAAACACATTACGGTTCGCAGAGTAGGTTCACCGTGACAACCGTGGGTTGGTTTTTTATCTGATAGGCACAGCCCCTCCAAATGAGAAAGCCTATGCGCACGTATTAGGTATCGTCGTTTTCTCCCAACCGCTTGTGCTCGCTGGCCTCCAGACCAGTGGTCACCTGCAGCCCACCACCACAAGGGTCCCGCATAACGGCCACCAGCTTCACCACGCACAGACGCACAGCTCCAAGCCGAGCAAACACACTGTCGGTGAATAGACGAGAGTCCCAGATCACCTCATTGTCTTCCATAAGGCCCGACGATCAGCACAAAAAACAAGAGAGAAGAATCCCGCCAGTTGCTTCTAGCGTCCTCCTCAAAGCATTAAAGGATAACAATGAAGGACTTTCGAGAGTCACCCGCCCATCTGTCCTTCGAGTGTTCTACCGTGTATGCTAGGAGAATCCCCACAAGAACGAATACTCGGTGAACCGGAGGCCGATGTAAACCCACACACATCTCACGGCACCCCTACTGCAACAAGAGCTGCCCCACCGCTCGTCCTGATACCGCCAGACCTCATGCCTTCAGCCGTCGACGACGCATTTCAGTACGTAACGTACCACGTCAGCGATCGCCAACACGGACCAAGAGCCCTACGGCAAAGAACGGTGACCTTCCAGCGCTCAAATCACCCATCCCACTTCTTTCTCTCTGACCACTCCAAGGGAACGGCGGCCCTTTACCGTCCTTCTTGAAAAGTGAGCACACCTGAGAAGCGACGCAAGACGAGCATTTGCAGCGCCCTAATGTTGATTCCCCATATGCTCTACAAAGCACACCAACACAACGCCAACAACTGTGCCGCCAACACGCAGTTTTTATCAGGGAAATGCATCTCCAAACGCTTAGCGAATATGCCCAGAGCTTTCCCCAGGACCCTATCATTTTCTCTAGGCACAACCCCAGCTACCAACGGACCTCTCTGTCGTGCATGTGAAGGAGCAGTGGCAACAAGGATTCCTGTCTAACAACACAACCCTACTGTCAAGGAATAAGAAGAGAGTTACCAGCAAAAACTCTCCAGATTCCACAGTTCAGCCAACAGCAAACGACTGATATCAGCATGATTGCGCTCGTTGTGGCGAAACGAACACGGCGCCGGCTCCAAGCGCCAAAAGCACAATACAATTTCATCCACAACCGCATCACCAAGTGGCACATGCTACTCTTGCTCCGAACTGTTCTCGCATGGACACCTGCGCTTTCGAAATCAATCGCTCACACCCAAACCTCCATTGGACACCATTGATCCCTTCCCCTCGCAGAAGTACTCTTGCGCCGCTTGTCACCTTCTTTCTCACAACTAACCGAACTAGCTGGGTTCCGCATTTCCTGTTTCTTCCAAACAACCCTATACACACTTCGTGTTTTCTACTCACCTGTCCCGGCCGCCGAAGCTCTAAAGGCCTTGGAACGTTGCTTACTCAGGTTGAATCATCACAGGGAACGGCGCGTTGCCCGCAAAACAAGCTTGGGCATGCAAAGCCATCGCAGGCTCCGACAAAAACAAGTAAATAAGCTCCCATTGTCTTAATCATTCCAGAAACGTATCCCTAAGAATCGGATCCCAAGGTGGAGGAGCGTGACAAAAAATTCCACACACCATCTTCAACCCGCATAAGCAAGGTCACCGCAAACTCGTACATAACTTCTTAATTCAGGTACGTTGGGCGGCACCGTGCCCCAACACTGATGCCAAAAACCATGTTGAAGGTGGGGTAGAGTGATCTAAGTCCGTAAAGACCGCTGTCCAATTATCTCAACTAAACTGGAAGACTCTCAACGGGTGGAAGTAATTGAGAGGAAACAGCTGAATTATTGTAGCGGACGATCCGAGCTGCTGCGTCAGTTGCAAAAGTTCAGTCGTAGTTCTTTTAACAAGTAATGGATATCCCACTGAACTGTCTATCTGCATTGGCGTGAGTTGAGCCCGAAATGTGGTGCTGGAAATCATACGCCAAAGCAAGGCAAACGCCTGCACAGCCTCCTAATTCAGGTACGCTGGTCGTTGATGAAGAAAATCATACTGAAGGTGGGAGGACGCGGTCTAAATCCAAACACACAGCGGCCCAACTCCCTCGAGAACAAGGAGAATAACCGCACACTCCATGTTCAACCTGCCTATGCAAGGTCTCCGCAGCCTCCTACATAGCCTCCTAATTCAGGCACATTGCTCTGAATCATGCCCAAATATTGACGGACAAAATTACATCTCGATCTGAATATGCACAGAGAGCTGCCCAACAGTGTCGAGAACAACGCGCTCCACTCGACGGGACGCCTCCACCTGAGAGGGAAAAACTAATTTCTTCAAGCTGAACATCGGAATTGCAGCAACCGCCGTCAAAAGGTCAGCGAAAATTAATTTTAAAAGATAGCGGAGCGTCCATTGAACAACGTATATTCATTCTGCTGTCGGTTCTACATGCCGGCCGCCTCACCCCGGCCGCAGGTGTTACCCACCTTATAGGGCGGGTGCCGACCGTGTCAACAGTTCCACCGAAGCTTATTGAATGTGAGAACAAGAGTAAGGATATTAGTGTATAAACACTCAGATCTTGTTGATCTTCTGTCCTGGGTCCTCTGCTCTGCGATATTCCTTGCTGCAATACAGTAGACCCGGATCGATGGTCCAGGAGCGGAGCGCGTCCAGCAAGTCAGTGTATATGCATGAACTGACGGCTTTTTGGAGAAATGATATTAGAAGCGTCAATCTGCTTTTCTCTTCGGCAATTTGTTTGCTTGATCATGCAATTAAAAATGTTTCGACATAGTTTGTCTGGTCCATCCGCGCAACCAACCTAATCATTCACTTTCTGCAAGGGGTCTCATGAGACCGCCCCAGACAAGTGGAGACAATGCAACTCGAGCCACACGGCAGAAAGGAGTGTCTCCATCTGCTTGACGAGCACTTGAAGCTTGTTTATTCTCCAGTTCAGCCTACACTCTGCAAAGATCCCTCCTTCACAGTCTGCCTCTCGTGCACCCGACACGCCTCTTGAACCAATGGTCAGGACTGCGAAGCTCAATTCAGGCGGATCGATCACGCAATTTTCAACTAGTTAGTCGTGCAGCAGCTTAACCTCCTCTGCCTATCATGATGCTGCTGTGCTCAGCAACCGAGTACACTCAGCCACCTGGCTAAACGGGAAAATATAAGAAGAGCTTTAGATCAGGTTATTGGCTCAAGATATCTCCACATATCTATGCTGTGAAGGTCTATAGGCGCAGAGACTGCATGTAAAGCAGAATTAAAATTATGTACGGCGTCCAGCCGCATGCACGCGCTGACGCTTAGAAGCAAACCCTTTTCTTTCTGTCGTGTGTCAGGAGCCAGCTGATACGCAAGTAAATGCGCATATTCAAAATTCGGAGAGACCATGTCTGAGTAAGCAACCTACGACTAACAAACGCAACTTTTGGTAGAAGCTGGACGGAGCTCTCATATAAATGTGCCTTAAAGCTGGCGGGCAACACATGTCACAGCAAGATTGTGGCGGCCCAGGCAACAACAAAAAGCCCGCTCCCTCCGTAATTGTTGCATCGTGTTTTTGCACGATTCTTACACGATTGGGCTGTTCTGACAAATACTGCACTAGGCTGTTTTACAAGGCAGGTTGTAAAAACTCTGCAGTGGGTTGGCATGCATCGCCTATGCACGGGCATGCGTCATCTATACATGAAGGTACACGCGGCCTACTTCACAAGTCAGCGCTGTAGCTGTGTTCCAGAGTTGCCGATAAGTTAAAATTACTGCCTACATCACAGTCCTTCGTCGCGTTAAAATTCCTGCATGGGCAAAGTTTTATGGGCACTTGCCTGAAATCATCGGCCCCTGGATGAAGGGCTTGGGCCCTTCGCGAGGGACGCTTCACCGTCGAAATAGGTCCGGAGGTACAATTCACAACTCAAGTACCGTCGGCAGCTCTTTGGACGGTTCAGCAATTGCCGGGTGATGCGGATTTGAGAATCCAATCCCTGAAGCCATTGCAGCGACCTCAGTGCATCCGCATCAGCATATTGGTAGTGCGCAATCAAAAACCGCACTACGGTCTCGGCAGTGCTTCCAGCCGCATCTTGAAACAGCAGTGTTACTGCTGACTTCGTCCTGGATGCTCTTCCTCATCGAGGGGTTGCTGTAAGCGAACTACACTCCCGGCTAGACATAAAAACGATTGATATTGGTGCTGTGCATCCTGATAGGACCAGTGCTGCTCCTTTTGCGGCGCAGTTGAAGCGCGACACTGTGCATTATATAGCACAGCGACAGTGTTTTAAAAAACAATTGTTTCAGATGTTCCACACAGGTGTCGAAATATCCGGTCTGCCGCTCTTGATTCACTCTTGTTTGGCAATATCTTCATGAGAGACCACTACTGAACATCTGCACAGCTCTTCCACAGACTTTCCTGCATTTCGCCGCACAAAGTCGCTCTCAATGGCCTCTAACGATCCAACAGCACGTTTCCTATTATGCCAAGGTGTTTTTCGCAGGGATGAGAGCAAAGGCCCTGAGTCCAAAGTCCCTCCGTAGAGTACAACGGTGTAGGTGTGTTCCCCACTGCCTTTTGGTGGATGGATATCTGCATAATCTCCGTTTGGCTCCTCCGTCCCAAAGCGGAAGCTCGAAGGAATTTGAACCCCGCTTTTCACCCCGTGAAGCCAAAAGCGAGCGCTCTCGTCGACGAATACAGCAGTGGCGGTGTCTTGCCCTGCTCCTTCCCCTTTTACTTCCACGACAGGAGACGTTGCGTATCCGTCGGAGAACGAAACAGAGCAGCTTGTGAAGCCCTTTGCGGCAGTGTTCCCCAACCGCGAAGATTCACGCAGCTGCTCCTCTAGAAAAGCCAGGTCCCAAACGTCGTTGTCACTATCCGCTTGCCCATAAGGTCCCTGGGCAGACCCTTCCGTGTATGGCGACTCAGGTTCCACTGCCAATGCTTCGGCACCTAGTGATGGAGCAGCTGAGAGACTGAAAGAGGCGGGAAGCGCATCCAATCGGCCCCAGTGGTGGCCTCCAGCACTTATTGGCCGTACTGCAACTCCCGAGACTGAGACGGCGCATGCCATGGCGAGAGAGACCGCAAAAGCGGCCACCACCAGGAATCTGCAAATAATATTTAAAGTCTGCATGTTGACTAGTTACTAATGCAAGATGAAAGGCTCAAGTAGAGTAGGAAACTGCTGCTGACGTGGCAAGCGCAAGGTGACCCGCGACCTTGCTCAATGTCCGTGTCCTTGGATAAAAAAAGCCAGCATACACCTCCAAGACGAATACTTTCAAGAAAAGAATCCGGTCACACTGCAGTAAAAACTGTACTTCTGACTGGGAGCCAAGACGGAGGAGTGGTGCTGGCAGCCAAATCGACGGCGGCGAGGTAGCTGACGGCAGGGTCCAGCGGGCAGCTCTGGTGTCAGATATCACTAGTCAATATATGCACTGTATCATTTGTTTTGCGAACAAGCCGAATATTTCTGTTCACAAACTATATTTCGAGGGGACTGGAAAGCAATAGCACAGCTACGCACCGCTGGCCCAGACCACTAAACCACCCCGGTACGCGCGACGTGCGACATGCCGCTGTCCTCCTGGAGTGCATATCTAACAGCTTCTTATAAATATTATAAATAATCTCCCACCTTTGGTACTTTACAGGGAAGGAATACAGCGAGGCACTGCGCTCAACACAAAATACGCAGTGCGAAGCGTGCCTTCCAATGTCTTGTGGGCCGTGTTACCCATTGCGTAGTTCTAGCACGGGAGTCCAGATATACCTCGTTCGGAAGGAAACGCCTGATCTAAATTCCGGAAATAAGCTGCCTGAAGGCCCAATGCACTTGACATAATAACGCTTCTAAGCCACGATCTAGTGTAAACTCCAACCAGCTAGTCAGCAGATTGCACCGTGTCCCCGTTTAAAGCGCGAATCATATATTGTCTATGAATGCAGACATGAACAGAGTTACGAGCGCCCCTGATAAAGCAGCTCAAGCGCACTGTAGCTCCACCCCAGTTGCAAAATCCCTTCCGCACCTCCGGAAGAGTCGAACCAATTAACTGACACCTCCCTGAGGCGGTTCTTGGGGTGGGTTCAAGGTTATCCTACTCAAAGTGTCTACTAAACGCAACTTAAATCACATAGATACGCCTACATATCAATTTTGAGTGAGCCTCAAATCGTCTCAATGAACCCTTACGGGAACAACAGGAATTTTCAATGGGGGGAGTCGGGCCTAGTGGCAATGCTGCTGGTGCGTATATTGCAGCAGGCGTTTTCCCTATCCTGGGCTTCGCTAAGACGGAGGCGAAGTGATCTTTGCATCTCCTGAACTCGACCTCCCACCTCACTTAAGGTCTCGTCTTGCTGCTCTTGCTGGTTACTTGACAGCGGAGATATGCACAGTGAAAACACTGACCAAGTCCCCTGACAAGAGGCGGAAGCTGCCTGCAGTGACCCTGCTGCGGCTGTTTCTGTTGATGATGTTGATGCTACGCGCCCTGCCACATTCAGCAACTCTTCCACAGGGATGCAAAAGTTCCGGTGTAGTTCTGTGTCTCCACCTTTGATGCTTGCTGCGCCTGTCGAAGCTGTCCGTTCTGCTTCTTGCTTCTCTTGCTCTTTGGTAGAGCTTGAACCAACATGTATGTAGTGTCGCACGAGCTCTGCTGCAGTGTTTGCTGCAGCGAGTCTGAGCCTGGGGTACTTCCTCTGCCCAAGCATTTCTCCAAGGCGCGTGAAGACAGCCCACCACTCGCGAGGCTCCGCAACGGCGCAGAGACAAACAGACAGACTTGTCAGAAGGCTAACCAGGTCTGACAATCTCTGCAGACAGCAGCAGTCACAATGCAGAGAGCAAACGGCTGCCACAGCTCCCGCAGTCTATCGGGCAGTAATGCAACCAAGAACACGCCTACAGCAACACTCCCTCCCTCGAACTCTCTAGTCAAGTGTACTTCCAAGTCATACTATCGATGCCTCCCCCATACCTACGCCGGCACTAGCAGAAAGAGTGAAGGTGTCAACTGCTTCCCAAGCATTACACTAGTGAACGGCAAGAAGGTATATGCGGACCTGCAGAATGTCAACTTTGAGCTGTACAGAGGTCAACTGGTACCGAACGAACAAACCCAGGAATTCCTTCACACCGGCATGTCCGCTGCTGCCAGTATTGCTATTGCCGCCGCTGTCGTTTCCACTATCGCTGCCCGTGCATTTCCAGGCAGTGAATACCGAGATCCCTTTGCCGCCTTCGTTGGCCGGAAGGCTGGTCCACGAGGCAACAGATACATTCACAGCAGGTGTTTCTTCCGATTCTAGCCCCTCTGAGGTTTTTTCACGCACAAACACACACATTGCACTGCACTCGCGACGGCACTAGCTACAAGAGTGGGCCTAGCAGCATATCATATTAAAGGATATTACATCGAACGGCTGCTATTCCCTTACCTGCTCCTTCTGCAGCTCTTGGCTCGTGCTCCACACCGAGCCTCAGGCAAATGTCTGTCCGTATGAGGCGCAGCAGTGCCAGAACTCCTGCCCGAATGGCAGCTTCATCGCGGGAAGTCAACTGCCTGCTGCTGGTGGAATTTGGCTCCCCTCCTTGTTGCGTAGCCTTTCCCCTCTCCAGGCCGCCATCTTCCGACGATTCATCGTCGTCAGGGGACCCCTGATCAACCCTTTTCAGAACCTACAAGCAGAACAGACAGCGCTAGACCAGTACCATCAAATCGTAATACTACCACAGCCTGCAGCACACACTCCAGAAGCTACACGTGCAGGGTGCTGGGTTCAATACATACGCAGTGAACAAGGGCAAGGAGCTCGTCAAACGGCTGGTAAGCGCGCGTTTCTGGAGGCAAGAACTGTAACCAGCTGGGGATGTGCACCACAATCGCTAGTTTGTCGCTAGCATGCAACCGCAGCAGACGCTTGGCGACGGTAGCGCTGCTGCCACTCGGTGCAGCTGGGGATTCGGACTCGGCTGCACGTTTGTTTTCTGCTGCTGCAGAGCCACACAGCCGCTGCAGCATCATAAGCCCGTCTAGAGCAGCGCTTGCATCTAGCGCTGCAATGTACAGAGGCGCTGCACCCTTAAAGGACGCCTGACCCTGCAGCAGACGCGCCGTGACGGCCTCTTGCAGATCCCGGATGACCGACACTTCTTGGGCATCTGCATATTCTCTGGATAAGCAGCAGACAGTACAGGGAAACAACACTTGGTAGGTCTAACACAGCAAGGAGAAACTGAAAGCATGCAGATACACATCCAAGCAGCCTCTAGTACAAGCAGCTGGCTTCTGGCCTAGTACCCAAAGCCTCCATGAACCACCATGACACAACATAGAGTATGACTTGGGTGTACGTACGACGGGAGTCCGTCTCTCCAGATGGAAGCGACGTGGGCTGCTATGGTAGAAACAGCACGTGCAGCAGTGAGTCTCTCTTCCCGCACTGAAAGATCCAGCTGCTGCTGCAATTTAGCCTTAATAGGACAAAGGTAACGGGGTATTCCGAACGCGTCTGAGCCAGCAACCTCTGTCCAGAGGTCCCTATAAACCTCAGCAACACCTGCATTACTGCTGTGGCGAAGGCAAAAAGCCACGGCTCCGATGGCTCCCTTCAACTCTCCATTAAACAGCTCGCTCGCCCGCCTACGAAATCAGAGGGAAACAGTAATAGAACCAGAAACAGCAATGACAGAAGCAACGCCAATGGCATAGGCATGCAATTGGCCTCCTATCTTACAGTAGAGCATATGTCACAGCAAACGGCACTTGAAAATGTTGGCAAGGTAGGCAAGGGGAGGGCGGCTATGAGGAGGACTAAGCCGATATGTGGGCACAGAAACGTCCTACCTGGAGACGTGCAGAAGGGCATTTCCCACGCCAAGCTGTGTTTCCTCTCTCTCTTTGGAGTTAATGCATTCAGGCGATGGCAGCTGCAGTAGCTGCTTCTCTAGAACCTAAACAGACAAAGGCAAACAACAACAGTGTAGAGGTACTTCGGACGCAAGCTAAACATAAAAACTTAACGCCGAAGGAGGCGTCGGCTTACAGCGATTCAGCTACCAGGAAACAGAGTGAGAAAAGCGGTAGCGAGGAATATGACGAGCAAACAAAGACAGTCCCAAAGGGAGGCAGTGCAAGAATAGTGTTTTTAGGTTTATGAGTTTCTGGAAATCAGATTGGGAGACCTAAAGGGGAACGCAGAAGCATCACCTCTTGCATTGCCTGTGGAGTAGCAAACTTGCAGACCACCGAAAATGCTTCGATTGCAGCCCCTCTGACGGTCGGTGAGGCGTCCAGGAGACTGCGAGCGAAAGCCTTGAGCAACCGCTTGGAGTGTGTGGCCGCATCAGGTATTTTACTACCCCACTCGTCAAACAACCAGCATACAAAAAAGCAAACACCACAACGACTCGCCACGCCAACGCTTGCTCGCAGCTTTTGTACCAATGGCTGCACGAGCGGCCCCACAGCGCTAAGGTCCATTTGCCGGGCCTGAACACCAGCAGCACCAAAAGAGGCAGAAGCACTGAAAACGCAACAGTAGCACGGGTAATGCAACTGCAGCAGATGCAACCGACAGTTTTACAACTACTGCACTAACAGCAGAGCGTGCACGTTCAGCGACAACAGCTGCACCAAGCCACGCAAGGAAGCACAGAATGCCCACTTGGGCAGCAGGTGAACGCATGCAAAGGAATGGGGAAGAAAACACGATTTTCAGGCAGGCAGAAATCTCAAACAATGCCTAGGAGAGACAAAGAAGCACGCAGGTTTGTGAGGCGGCAAGGTGAATGAGAAAACGATGGCAGAGCCGCGGATGCGAACCCCATGGAGGGACGAGAATACACCGAGACGAGCACACACATCGAGAGAAAAAGAGAGAGACAGTGTAGTATGGCCTCACAATATCTTTAAGGATTTTGGCTGCCCTGCTTGTTTGCGAAAGAGACACCCTGGTTTTCTCGAAGTCTGTCTGCGAGATCCCGTGAAGTCTCTCAGCGTGAAATTGGTGGTAAGAGAAAGCGCGAGGCTCAAACGCGGCCAACCCTTCAATCAGAAACAACACCAGGGGAACCAACCAGTCTTTGCTGCTACTGCTAGTTTTGTCACTAGTGGGGGTGGTGGTGGCATCGGTGACGGGGTTGTCGCGTGTCTCGGAGTCCATCTTGACAGTTTCTTTTGATTGCCTCCGCCGCTGCGACGCGAAGCAGTGGGCAACGCTATCTCCAAGAACGTCTAGGCAGAGGATGCGGACCTGCAGTGACACCGTGAAAAAGCAAGACAGAAGCACCAGTCAAAGACACAGTTGCACCTCTGCAGTGCTGCACATGCTGCAGTATAGCCAAGACAAATGATGCAACAAGCCTGTTGAGAGAGAAGTGGAAGCCTCTTGCTTCGCCACGTGTCGGTATCTTGCCTCTTTGTTTCCTCCGTGCAGTTCGCATATCTTTTGCAGAAGGGACACCGATGCTACGAGTGGAGACCCCTCGCTGCATATCTCCACTGTGAGGGTCTTGAGGGCACGCCCTAGGGCCGCCGCTGCTGCCCTAACTTCGTCAACGATATCATCTAGACAGCGAGCGCCAGAGAGCCACAGATCTGCAAAGAAGGGTTCGACCTCAGCCCAGGCATGGCCTGAGAAGGGACAGACAGACGCAAGAAAGAGAGGAGAGGCTTCTTCAGCTGCTGCCGGCGCGACATCGCTGACACAACCGGCGGAGCGAAGCCCCTCAATCAGCCAAGGAACAGCAAATCACAACGCCACAGAAGATGTATGGGGTTTTGGGGCACAGAGTAACAGGAAATCGAACACTATGCAGCAGCTGCAATAAAGGCAGGAGTATGATGGGAGCAAAAGTAGCAGAAATACGAGCTGCAGCGACGGACCTCGTTTTAGCACGTCTGCTCCAGCCTTGCATGCGGCTTCTCTGAGGAGCTGATTGGGACTTTGCAGGCGCTTGACAATCTGCTGCACGACACGCTGCCATGCGGAGAGTTGGATGTTTTGCTGTGGTTGCTTCTGTTGCTGCAATGCAAGCATAAACGTGCTGTGAGCAGGACCAGGGCCAGTGAAGTCCACCACCGAGGAGATGCCGTAGACTGACTGAAGAAGGCACAAAGACCAAAAGAAAGAAAGCTACAGTGGGTCGTCTAAAGCTGAGAGAAAAGAAATGAACACCGCTGTTAACGGCAACGCAGTGACGCAACGGCCGCATGACAGAAAACAGCGGTGCAAGCCGTGCTGTTCGCTTAGGCCATCGTGAGCCTTCTCTGCCTCTCTCTCGGTGCTTCGTCTTTGTCGCCCTTGAAGGGTCTCGTTCTGTGTCTTTGTCACTATCTCGTTTACGTGTTACTTGCCTGTGAAAGCATCTCCACGGCATGTCTAAGTGGCATCGCTGAGTGCCAGAAGTACACGGAGAGGCAGAACAAAAGGGGCAGGGGACAGCAAAATCGCAGGGCTGAGATTTGGGCCTTCACAACCAAAGTTTCCCGCTCTCCCGAAGCTGGAGTTATTGATGCTTTGGTTGCTTCGTCTCCGTCGTCTACTGTTCCTGGTGTTGCAGATGTTTCAGTGCCTGCAACTGCTGCAGCAGTGTCACTTGCTGTACCAGCTTCTAAACTGCCGTGAGGACTGAGTAAAAGATGCTGTCTGAGAGCCGGAAGGCAGAAGCACGGGGTAGAGACGTCGCAAGCAGCAATACACAGGGGTTCTACAAACAGAGGCGGGAGGGGCTGGTCAAGCAATGCATACACAGCAGCCGTGTGTCCAATGTCTTTTGCTGTCTGCAGTAGCTGCCGCAGCAACTTGGACCTTGCCAGGCCTCCTTCCGCATCTCGTAGTTCAGCTGAGCCGGCCAATAAAGAGTCACTTGATTCCTCTTTACTGCCTTCCACGATGTCTTTCTGCTGTTGCTGTTGCGGCACAGAAAAGCCCTGCATCTTCAGCGCCTGCTCATTAGGACCAGTGGAAATGCGAGAGCCCACGTGAAGGGACAGTTCGTTAAGTAGCATATCTCGTATCGTGCCGGGTTTTCCTTTCGACGTGGTTTCTGTCACTGCTGTCGTTGCTGCGCATTTCGATGCTGCTGTTGCTGCAGTGCTCGTCGACGCCGCAGCTGGTGCTTCTGTCGTAGATAAGCAAGCGGCAAGGAAACAGCGGCTGATCCCCCGCCACGCGCAGTGACCCACAAATGTATCTGCATCCCCAATTCTGGAGAGGAAAACTCGCTGAAATTGTACCAGCATTGCAGCGACTTCTGGTAAGTGCTTTGCATGCAGCAACAGTGCCGAGAGCCAGCAGACCGCAGAGCTGGAGACCCTCTGCCACAAAGACACCTTCAAATTCGGTGAGGCGAAGACAAGACGAGCAAGGTCTGCATTGATGCCGTTGGCTGCGGCGGAATCTGTTGCAGCGTCAACAGCTGCTGCAGCGGCTTTCTCCTCCTCTCCTGCTGAGGCCTTCTTCCCATCCGACTCTGCTCCCAGCTGCTGAAGCTGCACCAACTGCAAGAGCAAGAGCAACACCTGCTTCAACTCCCCAGCCATAGCTGCCTCCCCCCCCTGAGAGTGCAGTTGTGTCTCCGCTGTTACTGTACCTGCAGCTGGAGCAAAGCGCATGCGGTGTAAGTCCAACACAAGCCGCACCACAGCAAGAGCCGCGGCGGAGCGGAGCTGCGGCGCGACCAGGGATGCTGTCTCCAACAAACATCTAACAGCGCGGTGGTAGGGCCCTCGCCATGCGTCAGCCTTGTTGCTGCTGCTGCTGAGCCTGCAAGCCTGCGCTGCGCAGAGACTTGCCAGAGAAGCGACTGACTGCAGAGAGGACTGAAGCAACAGCAGGCCGGTTCGTTGGGAGGCATCTGGGCCACACACAAAATGCAACACGAGAAACAAATTTCAGTCACGTTTGCAGCACGTTACATCCACAGTAGAAGCACGCTGCACCAGCCGCAACGAGGCAGAACACCAGCGTAGCTAGAGTGTAACGCACTTGCAGCTGGCAACATGAGCCCTGTTTCTGAAGCGACGCAGCGGCTAAGGCTAGCCTTGGATATCGTGGTTAGAAGGGAGAGCAAAGACTCAACGGCGTCAACATCTCTGTCTCTTTGCTGTTGTTGAAGACCTTCTCTTTCCTGTTCATTTTGCTGTGGTTCGTCTACAGAGAGTACCGCAACTAGCACAGACTCCCAATGGTCCATCAGGGCTCGTGAGAGTGCCTCCAGGCTGCACAGCAACAGGGCATCCGCCCAAGACTGGGCATACGCCGCAAAAGCAGCCATTTGAAGTCGCTGCTGCTGCAGCGGAAATGCAGCTTTCACGCAGTCCTCCCCACAGTACGCAGAGGCCCAGAAGCAAAAGTGCTTCAGCACTGCAGCGACTGCCTGAACGATAATGTCCTTGTCTTTGTTGTCTTCGCATCTGTTGCGTATTTCGTTCTCCCCAGCAGAAAGCACAGAGCCCACGACAACCAGGCTCCCGGCTAGCTCTCCCGGTGTTGGGATACGCTGCACATGTTGCTGTTGTTGCTCTTGGGTCTGCAAAGACAGCTCCTGGCGTTGTTTCAGAGCTTCCTTGAGCTGGAGGTACAGCGCATCATCAAGAGGAGTTTGCTGCTGCTGCTCTTGCAAACACGGTTCTGGAGCAAAGATATTGGTACGCTTCATCTGCTGCACGTCAACGGCAGACCCGGAGAGGAAAGGGAGGAATGCTGCAAGCAGCGGTTCACCTCCTGGTGTCTGGAGTATCTTTGGCTCCCCTTGTCGCTGTTGCTGCTGCTGCACGGCAGCGGCAAGGAGACGCATCAAATCTGCTGCAGCCCTCCGCGCATCTTCCCGCGTCTTCTGCATTGCATGCCGAGCCTCTCCGCGTTTCTTTGCTGCGGCTGGATCAGCAACAACGGGAGCAGCAGAGATGGAAGCTCCAAGCGGTGCAAACAACACTGAAGATACCAACAGGGGCTCTTGCAGGGAAAGCAATGGCAGCAAGCATGCACTTTTTTCCCTGTCTTGCGGCTGCTGTTGCTGCCACCGTAACAGCCCCATCCAGCACCGACAAAAGGTGCATCGCATAGAAGCACTGACGGCCTCATCGGGATGCCTAGCCACTAGCAGTGGCAGTAAGAGCACTGCAAACAAACGCATGTCTTCCGCGCCAACTTCAGCGCTCTTTGCAGCAACCATCAAGTCTTCTTTTGAGGCGAGACGTAGCTTCTTCACGGGTAAGCTCGTATCTGGAGCTGCAGATGCGGCAGCTGCAGTGGCTGTTTCTGCTCCTGGACCTCCTTCTTTCGCGGGCTGCTCCTTGTTCTCAAGGCGCATGCATGCATGTAGCCGGAGGTCGGCATGCAGCAGTTCCCCCAGGCGTGTCGCGAGGGGTAGCAGCGTCTGTGCTGCTTCTTCTGGTGATACGTTAGCTGCAGAAGCAAGCTGCTGCTGCGCGCCACGGGGATCGACGGAAAGGTGAGCAACAGGAGGCCCTTGTTGCTGCGACGATGTCCCGCTAGCACTAACGATTCCGCCCCTGTTTGGGTTGAGACGAGGAAGAGAAAAGTGAAGCAATGCAGCGAACGAAGGTGCCTCCTGGCGTTCAGATTGTTTCAAAATGCCTGCGGCCGTTTCAGCCACAGAAGCCCCCTTCGATGTGCTGCTGCTGCTGTTGCCGCTGCTTACGGTAGCCGTCTCCACACTCAAACAGATCAGGCAGTAAAAGCTGCAGCAATGACGCATAAACGCAGAACCATGGCGCGGTGGGAGTGGTGCTACTGCTGTTCCTGTTCCTGCTGTTGCTCCTGTGCTGCTTGCCGATCCGCTCACCTGTGGGCAGGGTGGTTCGTGGGGAAGGCCTTCGCCGCTAACCTCAACACTTCTTGAAGCAGCAGCTGCTGCGCCGCCACAGAACTGACAGACGCATCGCCTTGGCTCGCCTCAAGAGGTGCATCACTAGGTTCAGTTTCCTTCCGCTGGGCTGTTTGCGTTGCAGCTGTAGTTCCAGGCAGATGCAACCAAATGGCACAGGTCCAGTCCAGCATAGCTATAAGTTGTTCCTCAAGGAAGTCGTGCTGCTGCCGTAGCTGCCGCAGCTGCGCCCGATGCTGCTGCCTCACGTCATCCTGTTGCTGCAGAGCCTCTCTAAGGGCACCTAACCGCATCGCAAGCCAATCACTGCAGCTGCGCAGCGCTTGCAAGGCTGACGGGGTGGTAGGGTTATCCAAGGTCGCACTGAGAGAGAGAGCAGCAGAGGCCGCGCGTCGTCTTTGCGACTGCAGTTTTGTTCCCTTTTGTTGCGCATCAGCCTCGATAGCACGGGGCAGCAGCAGCAGCAGCTGCTGCAACAGCTGAAGCATCCCCTGGGTCAACTTCTCATCCAAGGGATCACTCCGGGAAGCGTCGTCTTCTAGTCCCCTAACAAGCGAGCACTTGCTGCTGCTACAGGGGCTGCTCCCGTTGCTGCCGCTGTTGGGAATGGGGCAAAACGGACAGACACGACAGGCAGTGGATATCGCGTCCAGAAGAAGGGGGAGTAGTTCACGAGTTGCCGGCTGCAGCAGCAGCTCTGCTGCACTGCGCGGACGCAGCGACGAAGGGATGTTGTCTTGGCTCATTTGATATACGAGATCAGGAGAAACGACCGCGTCAGCCGCAAAAACCGAAGCAGAGCACTGCATGAATTGTTTCAGCAATTGCGGGGCCCTGCTCACGGGGTTTGTGTTCGGATCCTCCGCAGCAGCAGCGGAAGCATCAAGTGAGCCCACGAAATTGATAGCAAGAAGCTCTGGCGCTGGTGGCACTGCGACCAGCAGCAGCTGCTCGATCGCCCGGGAGAAGAAATCCAGAAGCAAACAACTTATGCGGGCTGAGGAGGGGCAAAGAATCCTTTGCTGCAACGGCTGCTGCTGAGTTGCATCGTTGCTGGCAGCAACACCCGTTGCAGCTCCGGCACCAACTGCATGAACGTCACAGCAGAACCAGCGCTGCAGCCGCAGGCACCACTGCAGGAAAGACAGGGCAGCACTGAAGCGGGTTGTAGGCTGTCCAGAGCCGATCCCCCACTGCAGCGCCTGCTGCAGCAGGCTCAGGGCCTCCCACTGGAGCTGCAACACGGCGAGGCAAAATCGCCTCTCTGCAGCAGCTCGGCTTTTGCCCAACTGCTGCAGCAACTTCTGTTGCACCTTACTGGGTAGTGGACCCCGAGACTCTTGCGTGCGGAGACTTGTGTAGCCAAGCAACAGCCTTATGTGCTGGATGTGTCGCAGATGCTCTAGTGGATGGAGCAGGACCAAGTCGAACAGCAGCTGGAGAAGTAGCTCGTCGTCCGTGTTGCTCTGCATACAGGAAAGAGATCGCAGCAGCAAACTGGCCGCATATGTTGGTGACCTGACTGCTGCAGCCGGGGTCTTGCAACTACTGCTATTCTATCAAGCTGCTATAACGCCATCTACAAACTACTAGTCCTCAGCAGCCAGCACAGCAGACCCAAGTACGCAGAGAGCCCCTGCACTAACAGCAGCCGGGACCCCCGCACCGGCAGTGTGAACAGCAGCAGCGTCTCCAGAAGCTATAGCAGCAGCAGCAGTTACCACAGTCGCCAGCCGAGTCAAAGCAGAAGTGCAGGGATCAGCGATCGAAGCAAAGGGGGCGCAGCTGCCCAGAATAATCGGCGCAAGGATGACAGGGGGCAAAACTATGTTTTCTCCTTTTCCTACTGCTGTTGCCGATGCTGGTGTTGCTGTCGTTGCTGCTGCTGTTGCTGCTGCTGTTGCTGCTGCTGTTGCTGCTGTCGATGCTGCACTTGCTTGGGCGGGATTTTCGGCCCCTGGAGCTTCAACCGGAGTACCAGATTCACCAGCAGCAGCAAGAGCAGCAACTGTAGCTGCTGCTGCATCTGCTACTACTTTCTCGTCTGCAACAGGAGCAGAGCAAGCAGCTCTTGTCAGCAACTCCACCGCGCGCGTCTGTTGAATCACCAAATCTTGGCGAGAAAGCCTGCAACTTCTTTCCCACAGCCCGACAGTACCACTCGAGAGCCCTCTCGCTGGTCCTTTCGGCGCTCCTGGTGCATCTCCAAATGCTGGTACAGCTCCTCCTAGACCCACCATAGTAACATTTTCCTGTGACCCCAGCACATCCACGAACCAACAGCGGACAAATGCCCCGACATCTCCCTTGGGAGGTTTTGGGTTTCGCTTCTGATCCCTCGCGCGGAGTGCGGTCCAGTCAATGCTGTGTGCCACTTGTATTGCCTTCTGCCGCATCTGCTGCTTCTGCAGCAGTTCTGCTGCTCCCGCTGCTCCAGAAGGTTCCCCCCCCAACAGCAGAAGTTCGCATATCGCCTCCACTGCTGCAAGGAAAGAGGCGGACGGCTTGCTGTAGCAAGGTAACTTGCCGCTAATGCTGCTTTTGCTTATTTCCGCAGCAGCATCAGCGGCGTCATCAACCATCAGCTGCGTCTCCACTGCGGCAAGTGCCTCTAGAACGCGTATTCCCATGGGATTGTTGCAGCTGCGCTTCAGTGACTGTAGGACTTGAGGCCCAGTGAAACATTCCAACAGCAGCAGCAGCATCGTGGGGTAGCTGGAGGTGGCCCACTTGTCATAGTGCTCAAGCAACAGCAGACCCAGAGAGCAAAGGCTCTGTGCGTCTCTGCGATGTATCGCGGCGGAGACGAACAAAGGGACGATGCCCCTCGCCACAGACAAGTTGCTTGCGCGAACCGGGGGGAGTTGGAGTTGGTCCAGTTGCTGCTGCAGCAGCGGTTGCTTCTCCCCCGTACGCTGTTGCTGCTCTGCTGCAGCTAGGATATTCAGCAGCTCCTCTGCAGGAACAGGCACCTCTGGGGCCTCTTTAACACGACGGAGACAGCTGTTCACAATTAAAATGACCTGCACGAATTCACACACACACGGAGACCGTGCACACCACAATACACAGCGCCTTTCTGCTTGTCCTGTTACTGACACTTCGCCTACAGCTGTGCCTGCTGCTATGTCTGGTGCTGCTTGCCTTGCGAAGAGACGCCGAGGGACAGGTCATCAACTCCAGTATTGCGCGCGGCAGCAGCTTGCCCAGAACAACGGCGAAAGATTCATCGCTGCATAGGCTGAGGCGCAGCGCTGTTTGCTCATACTCTTCCTGCTTCTGCTGCCTTGTGCTGGCGCTATTCTCTCTGGCAGCATCTCCTGCTGCTGCCGGTGGCTGCTCTGGATCCATCGGGGGATACTTCAAGGCACCTTTTACACCAAGGCCCCCATAGGAAAGGACAAAGAAGGATTCAGTCAGTGGAGCTCGGGAAAGTTTTGCCTTAGATTCTCGGCCGCTGGAGCGACGACTAGGCTGGTTCGGCGGGAAACACGAGTTGTACGTCGTCTCCGCTGCAGCCCCTGTTTTATGACCTATTAGTACAAGTTGTTGCTTCGTAGAAGCCCTAACGAAAAGTAATTTATCAGGCAATCACCTATATTCGTCTACAACAAAGTGGAGCAGCGGGCAAGTTGACCGCTGCCGAAAGCATGCAGCCCCAAGCTGGAACCGCTGTTCTTCAGTCCTTCCAGGGCTTCTACTGCTCGATGTATCGTGAACATGCCGAATAGATCTCTCAGACAGCATATAAGAACTCCATAACCACGGCTAATCTCAGTTCAGATGCCTATAAGGGGCCTCCGACTTGCCAAAAGTCAGCCTCAACACTGCATGAATGCAATGATTTGAATTAAGCCTGCCTCTGCAAGACGCTGTAGTACACCCTTGTGGTAGTTCTCCACTGCAGTTCCTCTGCACAGGATGTAGGAGCCCGCCCACTTCGCTGCAGCGCTGTCCGCGGCAGGAGCTGTAGCAGTTGTCGCGAACTGCCGGTTGCATTCCATCTCTGCACTGAATCTTCCAAGAAGGAAACAGTAGCGGATGCAACAGGGGTGACTGCAAGATGCCTCTTGTGAGCGTTGCAAGCCAACATGCAACGGACTCCATGGACTGCTCTCTCCCCAGTGCTGGATGTGTGACGCGGGAAGCAGCAGAAGCAGAACCAGAGACACCTGTAGGAGAATTGCTCGGGGGATGCGGTTCTCCAGCTCCTCTTTTATGTGGGTCAACGCAACAGCAGCACCACCCCCAGCAGCAGCCTCAGCAAAAGCAGCAAGAGCGGCTGGAGCAACAGCACAAACGGGAGCCACCTAAACATGAGCAGAATGAGGAATGCCAGGAGGATCAACAAAACCACCAACAGCAGCAGCATCAACAGGGCGCCAAGCGTCGTCGCTTGTGTTCTGGGTGCGATCGCCCCTGTTCAGTTTGCTACTGCAGCATCATACAAGGGCGAGATTTGAGTCTTTCTGAGCAGGATGTCTGCTCCGTTGTCAACAGAGTCCTAATCTTCATGCATCCTCTTGAAAAAAAGAGAAAGAACGGCTCTGTCCGTGTGCTACAGAAGCTCGTTAAGGGCATAGAAATTTGGCCTCACAGAAGGCCCGGCTGCTGCCCGTTTGCTGCAGAGGAGCAGCGGCAGCAGCATGCAGGGGAGGAGGAGCAGGACGAAGTACAGAGAAATATAGCGAACCAAAGCGTGGAAGGAACTCCTCGTGACTCTGGAGCAGCAGCAGGCAGTGACGGACTGGAGAAGGCAGGTGCTTCCGGCTGTAGAGTTGACGGTGCAGGGGAACGGTCTCAGCAACAGCAACACCAGCCCAAGCAACAGAGGCAGCCACAGCTGGAGCAGCAGCATCAGCAGCACCTCTGTACCCGCGAGGGTGTTGCGGTGTGCGACACGAGCAGAATGGTGCTCCTTTTTCCTACAGAGTCTTCTCTCGCTCTAGGAGTTGGATCTCTGCCTGTTCGTCTGCCTGTGACTCTCTTAGCTATCGACGGAACATGGAAAGAGGCCAAAGAGATGTTTAGCGCTGCTCCCTGGTTGCAAGAACTGCCCGCTGTCCACCTTCCCGTTCAACAGAAGGTGGACCCACAGCACCATGCCAGTGTCGGCAGTGCTGTTGGTCATGATCCTTCTGCTGCTGGCGTTGGTGATGCTGCTGCATCCTGCGGCGGCAGCATGAGCAAGATCGACAACTCAGAGGCGCTCCGCGTATCAGGTGCTTATGGAATGATACGAACTCCTCCGGCCAGTGTAGCTGCAAGCGGAGGCGTCTGTACAGCCGAAGCAATTGCCCAAGCTCTGTCGGCTTTGGGACGTTGGGGCCGCAGCCGTTCCTCATCGCTGTTGCAAATAGGTGAAACCACAAGGGAAACACTGCAGCACATAGTCTCGCTGCAGCAACGCATGCGAGATGAAAGCAGTGACCAAAAACTAACCGCTTGACACTCAGGAGGAATTGCCATAGGTGGGAAAGACAGCATGGGGACCACGCTGACCCCGTTTTTCCGCTGCAGTGAGTCGCGACAGAAGTTCAAAGCCCCTCATGTTTTCTGGTTTCCTGCTGCAGTCTAAAGAAGTAAACCTTCCCAGCACCAGCAGCAGCACCTGCGAGATCACTCGATCTAGAGGCAAACGGCAAACTGCGGCTCCTCTGTCTCTATGGTTGCTACGTTACGTTAGCCTAAACAGAACCCCTTACGAGTTTGTCAGGTCTCCGTAGGGACTCCGGAGACCTGACAAACTCGTAAGGAGGCTTACGTACCCCTCCTGTCTCCAGCCCCCTTCACCAACCCCAATTCAGCTGTAGAGGGGCATTTGACGATAGATGGATACTACAACGGAAAAACAGGCAGCGGCTATTGCTCCTGGCTGGCGCGAATGCCTTGCGCCACAAGCCCTCCCTTGAGATGTCAATTTTTTTACTAGACTTATTTGAATAAACTAATGCCTGCTGATACTGATAAACAACTTTCCCTTGCGGCCTACGTCTACACGGGTGGCTTCTGTTCCTCGCTAATCTGAATCGTCACCGTTCACTCTGACGGAACTACCAACTGGATTTCACTACTTCCAACGACCACGGTGCATCCTAGGCATCCCTTGTTCCATCTACCCACTAGTTATGTAGATTATGGAAATATGTTAGAAAGAAACCGATTGTTCACTCCGCGTTCTTCCACAGTAACGTTAGCGAGCGGCTGTGGCTATTCCTTCAAGCAAACCGTGCCTGTAATGTTTCGCAGACACTAAAGCCGTCTTCGCCTCCCCCTACTTGTAACTCCAGTTAGCACCCGTCATGTGGTAACTCCCACAAAACACTTTAGCTTGACTCCTATCGTGCAAGGCTGAGCAGTTAAGCGATCTCCTGGAGCTCCAGGCTCAGCAGTTTAGCGCTCTCACGGAAGCCTGGGGCTTCAGGCTTCCAGAAGATCGCTTAACTGCTGAGCCTCCCGCGACAGGAGTCACCACTCAACTTTCGTGAGCATCTGACGAAACAAAACCGTGCATGCAAAACTAGTGTCGCTGCACTGTGCTCAAATCAATCATTCAGAACTGCATCTTGCTGAGATGCAGATGTCGCCACGGACGAACCCAGTGAGCCTTGTTTACAACATTAGAAAGCACAAACTGCCTCTCGCCCCTCCTAGGCCTCCAGGTACCTTCAAATTAACAGCAGGCCGTTCATCCGAGGGGGAACGCAGGAACAGAGGATCGGTCATTCCTCACAGGCCGGAAAGAATGATGTCGGAAAATCCTGGCCTGTCTCGCTGGCAGCAATAAATGCTCCATGATAATAAGCAAGACCCCCTTCGCTGTCTTCGCTGCAAAGCCGACTCGCAAGAACCTGTCTGTGCTCGTCGGTACTGCATTTTGTCGTGGTAATTCGCCTGCACACAACGCCCAACGAAAGCTGCTGATTTGCCAGTTCAACAATGTCCCCTATCCGCGATTAGTTTCGTCAACGCAACATTGCAGAAGAAACTAGCAGCCCACGGTTCAGTAGCCCAAGGTTCAGCAGCCCAAGGCTTCCGCGGCATCAACCTGCCCTCACAAACCGAGCCAGTATTCTTCCTCGCCAACACTCTTCACACCGTGCAGACAGTGGGGCCTAACCTATGATGGTCAACTACGGGATGCCAGATCTTCACGCTGCTCAACATACACAAATCTATGCCTACCCGATGCCTCATTCAGACGCTGCCAGTCCCTGCTGGCTCCTGCGTGGCGCTGGTTCCTCTGCTCGACTCTTCGTCTCCATTTTCGTGTCCTTGCTTAGCTGCCCTCGTAGCGTCTGTATCCTGATCTTCCCACTCATACAAGGACGGGTCCACATTCTTTGCGCCGGAATCGGCGAGGACCCTCACCTGCTGCTTCCCCTGTGTGTACACCTCCTCCACCCACTGACGCAGCTCCTCCGGCTTAATAGACTTCAGCGTATGCGTGTCATCTGCGCGCAACAAACACGTCTCAAGGTTTCCTTTCCTCTCCTACTTACCAACTCAGCACCCCAAACAACGGCCTCGTAGGCATGTGGCCGCTAGCCTTCCGCCCGGGAAAGCTCTACAGGGACGCCTGCAGGGGAGCAAAGCCCCAACTGCTTCTTCCCAAGACCTCTACAAAGCAAACCGCTTGCTGTTAACGCTTAAAAATAGAGCTCACTTATGACTTCTAGACGGCTGCGACCCGGCCCATCTGCTGTTTCAAGCAGACGGATCGAATCATCCAGAGGAACAGTTTTATCCCCCGAGCCGTGCACAATCACAACGTAGGGGATCCCGTGCAGCGTGAAGCCGTTGCGCAGGCGCATAAATCTAGAGTACTGTTCGAGAGCGGGAGAGAGCAGCAACTACCAGGACAAGCAAAGCATATACACACACAAGTGCACCGGCATACACAGCAGGCACACTTCAAGCGCCTACAACGGAAACGCGACGGCTCTGTTGCTGAAACTGCTATTCCTGGCCAGTCACTCCCAACGTAGCCGGTATGTGAATTTACAGTGCGTTGCAAACAATGTGAAACGTTCGGCCCGATCCTCACCATTGGCACTTTCGGGATATCCATGCTGAGGGAAACCACGGACCCGAAGGACGTGGCGACGATGACGTTGGATCGCTGTTCCCTAAATTTCTTCTCTGCTATGCGAATGGCCTTTTGCCACATGTAGCGCGTGGCAGCCTTCCCGCCGAACCAATACGTCAGAAGGAGCACTACTCCCTACGCACAGGAGACGAACAAAACCCGCAGAATGGAGCATCAGCAGTAAAGCCAGATGCAGAAAAAAATGGAACGACAACGCATGAAGCAACAAGAGCATACGACGCGGATTTGAATAGCCCGACGAAGCCGCACACAAGTCATGCCACGAAATCTGACGAGAACGTCGGGTCAGCCGGTCTGTACAGAACGTGTTCTTTGCTGAATATGAAAAGGCCAGACTGAGCTTTTTCCGACTTACCGATGCGATAAAGACGCCCAAGCCGACATACCACTTCGCCAGCACGGCAGCTGCTCTGCAGAGGCCAAACACAACACAATCGCGGTAACCACCCATTTCGAAGGTTTCGTTGTATGTACTTGTACAACTGCATACCTGAATGGGCTTCCTACAGTAGCAACTCAAGGAAATCAGAAAAATCAGAGTGGATCTAGGGCAGGAATAACCCACATGACCGTGCTGAGGAGGCAGATGGTCAGGATCAAGAAGATGAGGACAAAGACCATGATGGTCTGTCGTGTCTTCAAGTTGGGAGCCTTCACTCTTTGTTTCCCAAGAGCCTTTTCCAGAAGGCGCTGCTTTTCACTGCCAGGGGCTGAATCCAGATCGTGCAAAAAAAGCACCCGCAGGTCCTGGCCCGCCCCCCGGCTTGAGCCTTGAGAAGACATTTCCTCAGTACCTGATCGACAAGAAGGAATACCAACTGTTGCCTTTTACTCAAGGCGGGCGCAAGAGCTGCGAATATATGGCTGCAGTGGGGCCTTCAACCCAAACAAAACCGCTGTACAACAACAGGACTGGCACTCCCCGGCCTGTTGCTACTGAAACTGCTCGTAAGGAAGCCACCCTTTGAAAGGGTATCAGCGTGGCTCTAGAAACGGTTAGCCACCCGAGAGCCTCTGCCGCACCTCAAATTACAGCCTGTTCCAAAGGCGTTCTATTGTCGATGGCCTACACCGTGGCCTTGCCGATGGGTGCACGATGTGCTCCCAAAATCCGAAGGGCTAGCCGCTTCCTCTGCTCCTATGAGGTGTTTCTATAGCTCCGAAACCAAGCACTGAGGAGAAGACTGCACCAAGCCAGCCAGAAATGCTACGGGGGTCGGGCGGCCCACTCGAACGTAGCCCGGCAGGCGACGAGACTTCAGCCCAGCAATAGGGAGCAGGATGCTGGATACTGCCACAAAAACCTGGGTAATTGTAGTGTTAAAGTGAGTAGAAAAATCCCACAACCTGATTTTGCCGTCGTGGTCAAGTTCTGCATACCTTCCGTTTTCGCTGCTTGTGTGTGTGGCAGCCCTGACCGTCCCACGCCACTGCTTCTGGGGAGACGGGGTATGCTAAAAGAGTATTAAGAGAAAAACTCAAAGTTAAAACCGATCTATGGGACAAATTATGATCCCGAATGTGCTCTATGCACCAGAAGGAAAATGTAAAGAGGGCAATTCGAAGAGAAAGACACCCCCGCTAAATGGTCTAACACACAGGCATGAGTAGTGGTCTGCCCGCGAGAGGAACTCCGAAATAAATGGCCATCAAAAGTACAAGCGAGCAGTAAAGTGCTCTACAAAAGGTCAAACAAACAATGTAAGATAGGTAGGATCCGAAAGCGAACCAGAAAACGGATAAATGCAAGACGGAAAACCTGCAAGAAAATGACAGCGAGAGTTGCTCATACCAAAGGAGCCCCACAAGTACTCGTGGTCCTCTGGATTTTCTCTCGAAAGTAAAAAGGCACTTTTTCTTTTTTTACAGTTTTACCTTCATACAACATTTGCCCGAGGAAAAAATGGAGAAGGGAAGGCAGAGTAAGACAGATCTATAACGGCAATGGCAGCTGGGCGTGAAGCAGCCGGAAGTGCCTAGCGTGCTGGGTCTGATGATGTTTTGCAGTAACGCCTACTGCAAAGCGCCAACCTCCGACAAATACAAAATACCACATTGAATTTTCCTTACTTTGACCTGGGAGATTCCTGAAAATTTTTAGCTCGTTGTGGAATTAGGATGGACAGCTCTGGTAATTGAAGGCCGAGAGATTGTGAATCATCTGACCATGGGACTGCAGGCTATTACTATTGCATTCGCGTGGGAAATACACCCACTTTGATGCAATTTTATTTAATTTGGCAGCACCGATATTGACTCTAAAGCTTTCTCTCATAATAATTGGTGCTTCACTGTAGATGCTCAACGGCAACCCAATTAGAACTGCCTTCTATCCATCGATTGTTCGGGTTTAGTTGGGAAAACTGACTTCATTTTGCTCTCAAGACAAGTCTTTTCTATCATTTTTGCTCCTAAAGCAAGCTGAGTGAGAGAATACTACAGATAGTACTCGTTTGCGGCATAGTTTCTCTCCAGTCTCGAAGTCATGTGGTTACCCGCGCACCTAGGAACAACTTACCGCTATAGGTAATAAATTTCTCTGTCTTGTACATTTCTGACTAGCTCTGGCCAGCTCTCCCTATGGAAGCGCAATAAGCACGACTGCTGTCAAGCTCCACCGCACCTTGTCTATCAGGCCGTTCTATACACGGGCAGCACCTGTGAACGGTTGTTATATAACAGCGCTGTAAGGATCCAGAGCGTTCAATCATTGGGCACTGGTTTATTAGACGCTAAGTGGTTAAGCCCAGTGCCCAATGACTCAACGCGGTCGATCCGAAATGTCAAAGTTGGCATTTTTTCTCCCGCTGGCATTTCATCTAATGGCGTCTGTTAGCGACGCTTTCTTTGCTGCTGGCCCTTTCACACAATTCCTTTTCACACATGTCACGAAACCAGGTGTTTCCTCAAGGCTTTGGGTTCCGGGACGTGACCGTATTCGATGCGAAACACGTGCAAAAGGAGCATGTTGTTGAACACAGTGACACTTCCTGATATCGGTTGTAGCAAGCGCTAGGTGGCACTGATCCAGTATTGACTACGCAACCCTGTTAATTGGAACGCAACCCCACGTAGCAAACGTAACTCACAAAGGGGATTACTCACTAAAAGGACGCTGAAAGAGCCGACCCTAGAGTTTTCAATATCTGTCTTGTGGCATCCAGGCACTTCGTGGCTACGGCGTCAGCAGCCCCAACTTTGTCTTTCTCGAGTACCTTTGCACTCTAGGAAACGAGAGTTTCGGCGTCTTCTGGCTGCTCCGTTACAGCTTGAAGGGAGTGAATTGCCGCAACTCCTCATGACCCCCGGAAATCAACACCAGTTGAGCTACAGTAAATGCAGCACGGTTTTCTTTCCTGCTGGCTGTTCGCAAAAGTTTTTGGTGTGTGATGGATTGGTGGTTAGTTACGGTGAAATTCTTGCCGTATGTATAGTGCCGACACTTCATTACTCCTTACCTGAGCGTCTACAGTTCCTCACATGTCAGATATTTCTGCTATCTCTTCGTGAACTCTAATAGGAACATGAATAAGAACAGGGCTGGCTCGAGGTGGATCTGAAGATGAGGGTATCAGTCTGCGAGGCCCATCTCAGCATCTCGACAGAGCGGGATTGGGTCTCTGGGGATCTACGGGCTCTCAGGGACCCAACCGACCCCCCACCATGTAGCTGGGCAGAACGATAGCCTAACTCTTCAATTTGGGGCCCCGAAAACAACTCAATAGCAGAACATGTTCTACTGATGAGTTCAGGTAGGGACTCGAACCCGGGTAGAAAATGCGGGTAGCCACTGGCTGTAGTTGGTGGAAACTGCGGGAGATAGTGAATGCTGCGGGGGTGGGAGCCCTCGGTCTTTCGATCCTGCGCATGCTTTAGAGTAACATTGATCAATTATGCTTCTTTACCAAAGCAATTACTACCCTAAACTCTCCTGGCTACTCAGTTCCCTTTCTATATCCCTGTGCGGTCCCCGCCATAGATGCCTACTGCTGGCTATCTTCCCCTGGGGAGCAAATACTGTCTCCCAGATTCAATATGCAAAGACTCATATCATGGGAGGCTGAATCTGCACATTTTTGGATTAAAAAGAAGAACTAGGCGAAGCTGATTCTCGGAAATAGTTATCCTTTTTGCCAGAGGATGGCGCTGGGTAAGAATGCATTGTGGCTTGTGGGGATACTCACCCGAGAAACGCGTGGGGCATGTATCCCCACAACCCCGCAGTTCGCTGTTTACTCTACTTTTGTCAAGTTCCTCACTGTTCCCATTTATGCCCCAACCTTAGAGCATAGAACTTCATGATATGCAATTTAGACTGGCAGGATGCCGCGCAGGTGCGGTATGAATAGAACTATATCCCACTCAACTACTTTATGCGGCTTTGCAGAATTCGGAAGATTTCCATTGTTGACAGTTACAATAGCCCTATCGAGCACCAAGGAACGAGCTAAGCAGCACCGTAGAACTGGCAGGTTTGCACTAAGAGTCGTGATTGTAGTGAATACCCACTATAGTTACGGGAGTTAAAAACTTGAGATAAGATATCCCGAAAACCAGCTGATGTCCCCTCCGGTCTCCACCCATCCTTGTTGCAGCGGCCGAGGGCCAGGATCTGTTGCGGAGAGGTGGCGACCTATCCTGAGTTGCAGAGCAACTTCATACAACTTGTAAGAAATGTTATTGCCCTTATTCGATGACCGCCGCCAGCTGCGGTGAAGCCAAGGCACTCGATGCAGGACATTATTAAAAGTTCATGACTTCCCTCCATTGTCTCCAGGCGTCCTGGAGGCAGCCACTCAGGGCCTGGGTTACGGGAGAGGAAGCGGGCAGATATGAGCTGCAATGCACCTCGTTGGAAATAATGTTGCAGGACGGCCTCGCATGCAGGCACAGCTAAGCTTCCTTTAGTACGCGTATTATCTCTGTAGGTACTTGTTGCGTATTTGGATTTGCTTGAAGGGAGCATACTGTGCAAGTCTCCCCTACAGCAGGCCAGCTAAGGGGAGTTGGGGCCTTAGGGATCATAGGCCCCTCGGAACTTGATCCCCCTCTCGTCAATGGGTGCACCAAAACAATCTCCGCAGCTCTGCGTCATGTGCCCCCAACGACAAAACAAACGCAGACGAAAACCCAACGCAGACGAAAACCCAACTGTGAGGCCTAGTAGGGATCCGAGTCCCCTAGCGCGATGCGCTATTGTGAATCCATAGCAATGGGGGTATTGCGGGCCCAGGAAACTGATGGTGTTCAGGGGGGTCCCTCAGTCTCTCACAAGCTATGCAGAGATTCGTTCACGCTAATGAAAAATATTACACTTCAGTCTAATATTTTTTCAGTAAGCATAAGACATTAATAAGCTGTTCCTCTGAATGCCTACTGTGGGGCGCATCATTCGAACCCCACTGCTGAGTGTAACGGGCAGGCAGGCATGAGTTGACTGACACCCTCAAGTATATTCTCTTATTCAACACACAGTCAGGCATCCCCTCTGATTCAGCAATACAACGAAGCCAACAAAGCTTCAAGAAGGTTTCTCTGCAACCCCTCTAGACCCGGTACTGCGGCCGTAGGGGCTGGGAGATGAAACGGCGTGAGATGCTGCAACACCTTTTCGCCCAGGTCTCATGTTATTGTCTCCTATAGTCATAGCAATAAGTCTCTTTGTAAGCAAGATCCAATACATATATCAATTATTTACTCAATAAACATCAATATGCACACACACATTTCCGTGACGAGAACGGCAATGCTGCCGTGGTTGTAGTGAGTATTCACTACGCCTAACAAGGAAAAGTGAATGTCCCTCGGCCAATTTCGGACACACAATGCTACAATAATATATGGTGCAGCTAGTTTTGGAGAACAGCACCACAAGCACGCGCAACAAAGCTTCCTTTGGTACGCGTATTATAGCACTGCGGGAAGTTTTCAAACGGTTGCTTCGCGTTCTGTAAGCAGCCTGCAAGCACAAATGCGTGCCCCGGATATACTATGCGTGTAACCTATAACACTAGCTTTCTGGCCTTAATCAAGGACAGAAGCGAGCGGCAATATGGGTAAAGGCTTAAAGGGAGAGTCTCCCCAAAGCAGCTGACATACTTCCCCTGCCCTCAGGCGTCCTGGACTCTGAGCTCAGGGCTTGGGTGCTGCGGAGGAGGCAGAGAGAAGTGGGGTTGCAGGGCTCTTCGCTGCGGCTGGTAATACCGGCCAGCCTCACGCGTGCACACAAGGAAGCCTCAACGAAGCTTTCTTTGCTGCACACTTTACTCCTGAATGTACTTATAGAACGTTTGCATTAGATTACACTCAACCTACCAAGGCCAATTCAAGGCCCCTGTGCTAACGGTAATCAGACCATGCTGCAAACTGCAAGCAGGCCACGCTACAATGCTTTGCCAGGCTCATGCCTCGTTGCGCCCTGGACGCCAGGTGAATGGCGGGCCGGTCAACTGCTCGTTCGAAAGATATCATATATTGAGTATTTTGCCTCTAGTACAGGCCATGGAAGACCCAGGTTAGGATTGACTAGTATCGTATCCAGCTTTCTACATAGCGAAGAGGATATGGGCGCATTTGTTGTATGCGTCGCTTCCATCCCGTTATATCGCAGGGTAAGAAGCGAAATTTCCTCAGGAGTAAGGGTAAATTGTAGTATCTGTTAGAAATTTTTCACCAAGCCACTATACGACGACGGGTTCAGTGTAACTGTGGGGGCGTGAAGGACAATACCATATTTGGCGGCACAGTACATTCAGCGTTGCCTGGTCATGTTTAGGAAATGTCGTTGGATGCTATCTAGCCGTGAAGAAGCGCCTTAAACATTTGAAGGCAATTACATTCAAATATACTTTGCTGCGGAGAAGAGCGTTATCCCTTAGCCCCGCTAGTATGGGAAGGCCGCCACAGGGTTCTGCGAATTCGAGCAATCGCGGGGACTGGTCATGATGCTGACTTGTGCTACCTTCTCTTGTCTTTACTGGCGGGTTGCAGAGCCGACGCTTCTTTCGCAGTTATTATCGCTTTAAACTGGGGGTTTTATATTGAGTTTCATCGGAACCATATCCGTTCCTGTCTTGCTGGGAGTGTCCGCCTGAAGTGCACCGTCCCCAGGCTGATGCAGTTTCTTTCCTACACATACATCGTCGTAATATTCATCTGACTCAGCAGAACAGGTGTTTCCGCGTTTTATTTTGTGTTTCCTTTGAAATGGAGTCTGTAGAAGCGTCGGAGCCCTTGCCTTTTTTGCCGGCGGCGACTGGAGCTCAGGAGACAGGTACCGCGCCAGTCGTTCCCGCAAGCGGATGGACGGACGTTCCTCTTCTCCCACTTAAAAGGCAGCGTCATGATGCCGGGAAAAGCATGATTCTCGCCCTAGCAAGCCTGGTGTCTCTTACTGTGGTTGTGTACCTGTTCCTCCGATGCTCCCAGCTCCTGTCCCCCCAGCGTGGCTCTGCGACCGAATCACTGAGGCTGCTCGCTTCTGGGGTCCTGCTAGCACGGCTCAGCACGCATCAGCATCAGTAGCTGTAACAGAGCAAAAGTAGCTGCCGCTATAGCGATCGCTGAACCCTTCAATCCCCCTGATTGCCTTGATTGGAAACACCGTCTATGTGCAGCTTCTTAAGAAGCGTTCCAGCTCCTTCTGTTGAAATATTTTGGATCTTTGTGGATATGGGTTTGTGATTTGTACAGGGAAACGAGCAGAAATGTAGAACTCTCGGGAGTAGTGGGCGTACTGGTAGTCGCCTGAGCAACCGCCTAGCGCACTACCGTTCCTCCACGTCCATCTTTGGCGCCAGGATGCACAGCCATCCTGAAGGCCAAAGTATTCCTCCCTTCTACGACTTTCCTACCCTTACAAGCGAAGGAGTGCGCTTATAAGCTCCTTTGAGGCACACACACATGAAACTCTTCGTGCCGTGCCAGAGGGTTTGCATTCGTACGCGATATTCGCTGCACGCCTTGCAAAGAAAAGCTCTTCAGAGAGCTTCATGCGCATCTTATGCTGCAGCTGCATCCTTTGGGTGTTTTCGCAGGCACGAGGAGCCATGAAGAAGCTTATGAAATCCCTTGGCAAGCTCCGTCACATCCACCGCGGCGGAAAGCAGAGTGAGTTAGGCACACCGAAAACGTTTTGTTGAATTCTTTGCATGCATATTTGAATTTCCATATCTTGCATGGCTTGCGGCGATGGAGGGTACAGTTATCATCACCAGTTCCTAGGGTCTGCGTGTTGTGAGTCTGCACGCAGAGACCGTTCATTTTGAGTTGGGCAGCGTTCAAGCGACAGTGGAATTCTTCGAACTAGTGAGCGGCCTGATCTCTGTAGTAGATGCATGAAACTAGCTAGGCGTTTCTTTAGATAGTGTCATCTGCAGAAAACCAAAGGGGGCATTGGGCGCTTGCTGCGGTGTCTGGCTGCTGCAGAAATCGGGTTTCATCACGCACGGTCCAAGCAAAGATGTGAGCCTCGCTGTTGGCTGCAGTGCTGCTATCTGCTACAACTCAGAGAAGGATTAAGGGGTTTCCATTGTCTCAGGGGGCTCTCAGGGGGCTGCAGAGAAATGATAGACGCGATTGCAAGGGCCTGTGGATGTGGTGCATGTGTGTGTTTCAGGCCCTTGCCAAGGCCGGCGAGGAGATCGAGGCGGCCCTGTGGAGGGCTGTCCACATAGTATGGTCCAAGCGGCCCAGTAGGCTTTGATTGCAAGCAGATGCTTCTTCTGCTGCTGCAGCTGCTTTCTCGGCATGTTGTGGTTGCTGCTGCTGCTGCAGCTGCTTTCTCTGTATTGTGCTGTTGCTGCGCACAGATGCATCCTGCGCCAAGGTGGAGTTTACCCTCGGGGAAAGGGGGATAAATGACGCTGGGCTCAATATACTTATTCGCGTTTTCTGTGGGTATTTCCTGAGTCTCCCTCTTTCTCGCCGTGTTCCGTTTGCCTTTTGTCTTCCTCTGGCCCCTGAATGTTTGCTGCTACCTGCAACTGCTGGAGGCATGCTGCGGCTTAAGCGTAACAGGCCGTTGAGTGTGTGATGGCGCTGCTGATGTACAGGCAGAATTGAGGGGGATACGATCTCGTCGGATCCTGCCTCGCCTTTCGGTCCAGATGAAGACGACGGGGGATTTGGAGGCGAAAGGCGGGTGTTTGAATTCCCTGACTCCGGGCCAGAGTCCGGGCCAGCGCAGGGCCAGGCGTCGCAGTCAAGCGAAGAGGAAAGTCCAGCTGAAGATGAACAAAAGGGCGCCCATGGCGTAGACGAGCAAGGGCGAAGACCCACAGCTCCCGTTCCCCCACGCAAAGAAAAGGAGCAATCTCGTACAGGCACTAAAAAGAAACATGGTTCCAAAGGCAAGAAGCCGGCCGCAGAACCACATGAGGCCGCGGTGGGGACCTGGCTTCGCGAGCGGCAACAAGGTCTAAGATATGATTTCTCTGGAGTCGCTGTAGAGGCCGTAAGTCATGCTGCTGTGATGTCCATCCGCATCTTCGCTTTCAAGCTTTCTCAGCTGGAAAGCTGGAAGGACCGTAGACTGCTTGACTAGTTGTCTTATACAGCTTCACCGTGATCTGCTGTGCTATCTTTGGGCGGTTCAACAGACGAGGGCACAGCTGCAATCGGCATTGCGTCTCATCATTCAGATGAGCCAACCGTCCAAACAGCTGCGCTCAGGTGAATATCTATGGTTAAACTCGATGTCTTCTGCAAGCCGCACAAGCAGCGCAACGCACTTCTTTTGCTTCACTGAGGTGTATAGGATTTCTTGTCGTGAGTTTGTGCGACAGTGGCTGGCAAAGTGGAAAAAAACCTTCTGAGGCGTTGCGGTGCTTGTGCGGCCTGCAGAACACATCGAGTTTACACATAAGGGCATACAAGTGCAAATAGTTACTAGGGAACTAGTAAGTCTTCGGACCCTCGTTCTTCACGTGGTCGCAGTTGCCTTCCAAAGAATGGAGGGTTCACAGAGTCACTTCTTCTGCGTTCCGCGGGGAACATTGTTTGCACTGCGCTTCTGCTGTCTATGTCTGCAGTTGGGATTCCCCTGGGGTCAAAAACGGGTACGGCGAAGGACTTTTAGCATTAGCATAAAGCGGGAACGTGGGGGTCTCTAGGGAGAGCAGGGCTATGAAGGGTGCTGCGCAAAAAGCTATGGCGTCCGCGGTGCTGTCTTTTGCTGCAGTTGTTAGAGGAGGCCGGCGCGAAGCTGGAGGAAGCGTTCATTAAAGCAATTGAAACAGTCGAAAGCAAGTTACCAGGCAAGCTCAACACCGTTACTGGAGCTGCTGATGTTGTCTTTGATGTAGCGTTTCTTGTGCTCGCGGACAGTCTTGACTCTGCGCCAACAACAGGCAAATGCATTGTGAATCCGGTGGTGAAGTGGGTGTCTGCGTCTCATCGAATGTTCTGCAGACAGTGTGAGCAACACCCGAACGTTCTCAATCCAAGAGAGAGATGGAGACCGTGTAGTGGGGCAGCTTGGCGTCGTGGTGACAGGTAGGTCTCAGCGTGCAGAAGAGCCTCTGTTCGAACACAAATTCGGGGTCTCGCTTCGAGGTCACTACTTCCTGCTAGTTAGTTGGTTTTCCGTGTATTTGCTCCTGTTAACAGCCATTCACAGAAGCCTTCAACGACACTTCACGAGTTGTATTTCCTTGCAGCCTTTTCCCAATGTTTCGTGCGAGTGGTTGGTGCGGCAAAAGCGTATACCGTTTTGGTGTCAGGCGTCAAGGCATTTCGGTACTCGGAACTTTCCTGTGTATGCGTCATACTTGCTTTCAGCGACTCATGTGCAGCCAATAAGCCCCGATTATATACCAACACGAAGATTCCAACAAATGGGAATTTCCGGTCACGCCCAGTCTACATGGAACTTGTCTGCGGGCAGCCAAGGCGCCTCAGCTAAAGATGCAAGGGGAAAACACCCGTAACGAAGTTCGGAGGGGGTCCCCCACTGCAAGATGATGAAAGCTATAAGCACATTTGAATGAATCAGTGAAGTAATAGCTTGGAGGGGGTTGACACCTTTGCTAACATCCTTTGTTCATGATCATTCTTCTCTATTTTTTATATGAAGCAACGCAGCCGCCAGCGTGCCTGCGCTGCACGTAAAATATGTCGTGTTACCTTGTGTCCCACTCCTTTTTATATATATTTTAAAAGATAAATGGAAGCCTTGCGGCACACCTGCCACGGGCCGCTCCGTCTGCTTGGCGAGTCGAACAGAGTGACAATGTTACCTGTTCCAGCGAAGCTTTTGTATGTAAGGTGGCTTGTGCATGTTTCAAGTGTGCGGGAGGCTGATTGGGCTAGTGAATATACTGCCCGTCAAGCTGCTCCCCTTGTGCAGTTGTGGTTCGGAAATCGAAGAGATTTCTCAAAGACACATAAAGGGGGTCTGCCGGCAAGCCAAAATGGGCTTATGCGGCCGAAATCACACCCGGCTGCTTTTATTTTTTTGGGAAAGGAACCGAAAAGACATCTAGTTGTACAATGCGTCACGTGCAAACTGGCCGTGGCCATTTTAGTTGTTCCTGGGCACTACGGGCAGTTCGCAAAGCATGAATATTCCTTCGATACTTCTTTGCAGCACAGGCTAATCATAGGCGTTTGTAGGCAGACAGCGAGTAAATAGCTTTAATGGGCAAGCAACTTGCGCTTTACGAAACTCTGCTTCATCTGTGGTGCTCAGAACCACGTGACGAGTGCACTGCCTTTGTGGCCCCAGCAGGAGATGGTGGCGTTGAGTTTGCAGATACTTCTTGACATATTTCCACAGATTCCCCTCAAGGCAGAACTACCGTAGGTTTGAATTTCATCTGCCTTTTCCTAGTGCATAAGGCGGTTATACACGAGACTTCGTCGGAAACGTTTGGGCAGCATTTCAGTTTCAGTGGAGCATTCACCCGAGTTGAACAGAATAGGGACGTTCGAGCTTGTTAGTTGTAGAGTAACGTATTCGGCAGCCTGTCCACTTTCGAACGAAACCGTGAGGTTGTCGCAGATGTTTGGATTCTTCCTTGGCGAATTCTATAGTTGTACTGGAGGAACGAGGTCTGTAGCAAGCAGTTCATGTGCCGGAAATTCGAGCCTTGTAGTTCTCGTTACAGCAACCAGAGGGCTCAAGTACCCGCTGGGATATATGGTGAGGCAACATTCTCTATGTTTACTGGGTCTACCTGCCCTTACAAGCGTGCTTTGATTGATTTCTTCACTTCCTTTGCAGTGCAGTAGCTCTCGGGGGCTGCATTCGTCGTTGGCTCGCATAACCTCACGGTTGCAGTAGGGTGGGAAACTGTTACGGATGCACGCCTTTTACGTCAACGTATAATTTTCATATCCTACCACAAAATGTAGACTCTGCCACGAAGGAAAGCTGCGGAAACCTACGGAAACAAGGAAGTCCTCAACTGCCCCCGCATTGTGGCGTCCGTCATTTCTGGACGATCCACAGAGTATGAGGCACCCCTCATGAGTTGTGTTTCCTCTAAGTATATTTTCCGCTGAATGGGGTGCAGAAACTGCGTTTGTTCTAGCGAGGCGAAGGACCCAGCCGTTGGTCACTTCAGCACATCAACGCCGATCCTGACCTATCTCAGGAGATAATGGCTGCGACTTTTCAAAGAAAGCATCTGAATTCTTCTTCGCCTTACACTTTGTCAAGGTAAGCTCGCTACTAGTAACTGCTATGATCGAGGTTACCGTGCTGTAGAAGGTGAACCTTGTAGCTCCGACTTGCATTTGACGCAGAAGCCTCATCAGCTGCAATCGTGCAAGCATACTGCAAACCCAAAGTATATACCCTCCCCCCGCCCTTAGCTTCTAGGCTTTCTGGGCACATAGACCCCAAGGCCTGTAGCTGGTGAGGAGAGGACACAGCCTCTCATGAGCTACCGCGCAACTTGTTGCAACTAAATGCTGTACGGCGGGCCCACGTGCAAGCGCAACCAACCCCCCTTTGCTACTCGCGCTAACCCTGTACGCGGTTGCTAAACAGTTACTAGTGACTTGGCCATCCACAGCCAGCCTCCGCGCGAGTAGGAGCACAGGTATGAGCATCAGATATACCAGACTACAGTACTCCGCTCGGGCGACGCAGGGAATGCTCGGCTTCGACTACTTTGTGCTGACAGCAGCGGCTCTAAGTCTGTGCTTTCGGATGTAGTGTTGAAAACAAGTGCATCCGTGTTCATCGCTTTGTGTGTAACGGGTGCAGTACACCGCGGAGTGTTCTGAACAGGCTGCGGGCGCGGCGCTAGTGCCGTCCTGAGTACAGAAGGAGTATAGGAGGCCAGGCCAGCATATGATGCCCGCCACCAGCTTGTTTTTTTTCTTTGTGTTTACACTGTCTGTGTGGCAGCAGACAATCCTCTGCATCACGTGCAGAGCACAGGCCCGGTGGGGAGAATGCAAATGTCGCTTCGGTTGATGGAGAATACAAGGCCCTCAATGCAACACCGTTGGGTCCTTCTAACGATTTAATTTTTAAATTGTTTCTAAATAAACCCTGCACAGACACAGGCAGAACACGCAGCGGCTCTAACTAACCGGGGGGGCCCTTCCCTGTCGGCTGTAGCAGCTCCACGCAATCCTGCTTCTGGCTGCAGCAGTGCAGGCTTTGTTGCTTAACACAATACAAGATGCTGTTGCGGTGGAGAAGAGTTTGTTAACAAATTTGTAGCTCAATAGACACCCGAAACCCGTCGCAACATACTTCAGGTGCATGTACACATGAAGGGCAGCCGCCGCCGCCGGATGCGTAACCACTCATCACGCCTCTCATGACGTCTTCTACTGTTTATAGAAACTTTTCCTTTATGAAACACTCCATGGGGGGTTCAGCAGATACTTTGTTCTTCTCTTTGTTGCAACATCCATTGGCGCTGCACCAGACCACTGCAGCAACCGGGCTGTGGCTGTTCTCCTGGCGCCGCCGCTTCCATTGCCGCCTTTGCTGCTGCTTCTGCTGCTGACTCTGCAGCTGCTGTAGCTGCAGCAGCCACTGAGAAACCTCACAAAAGGCGGAGCTTCCCGCGGGGGAGCAGGCGTGCCGCTGCCTCCAGCCGCTCCTTAACGCCAAGACAGGGGCAGCAGCAGCGACAGCAACTGCAGCCAGCAGCAGGAGCAGGAGGAGGAACAGCAGCAACAGCATCAGCAGCAACAGCAGCAGCGGAAACTGCAGCAGTAGCAGCAGCAGCAACAGCAGCAGCAGTACCATCAGCGGCAGCAGGATGCTGTGAACTCAACGGGACGGCCTTCGCCGCCCAGCATTCGAAAGCGCGTGCGACAGGAGGACCCGCAACAGGAGGTGCAGCAGCAGCACCAAGAGCAGCAGCAGCAGCAGCAGCAGCAGCAGTCGACACAAGGAATGGATGAATTGCCTCTCACGCCGCAGAAGCTGCGGAAGGTGCAGCAAGTTGCGGAGGTCGCCTGCCTCCCCGATCAGCTCGCCGTCGCGCTTCTTGTCGCATCATGCTGGAGTGTACAGGTCCATTAGATGCTGCTGCTGCTGCTGCTGCTTCTGCTGCTGCTGCTGCTGCTGCTGCTGGTGCTGTTTGTGCCTTTGCTGCGTTTTCCCCACCGTATTGGCTGCCGATGACGTGCTGCAGCTGCTGCAGTAGCATCTGCTGCAGCAGCAGCAGCTGCTGGTGGTTGTTTCTGTGTTACTGCATGTGTGTGTATGTTTGTGTGTTTGTTGCTTACAGCTGTGTGTACCATCATCTCCAATGCAGCAATTCATTGTTTATAAATTACCTTTTTCTTATTGTTTAAACATATACATATACATATATATACATACACACACACACACACACACACACACACACACACACATATATATATATATATATATATATATATATATATATATATATATATATATATATATATATTGGTGTGTATGTACAGCGCGCACTGTCTCTACACCTGGAGGGGCGTTTCTGGCGTCTCTTTGGTTTGCGTCGGTGCCCGCGGGGTCCGCAGACTTTGCCGCCTTCACTTGTTTTGTCTGTTTGGGCTGCGAGAGGAGTCAAACACAACGGCGCATACAGAGTAGCTGTGGAGTGTGGGGCTGCATGCCCCAGACACAGCAACTGGGCTGAAGGTACACACAGACAACTGCTGCTGCTCCTGCTGCTGCTGCTGCTGCGGCTCCTGCTGCTGCTGCTGCTCCTCCTGCTGCTGCTGCTGCTGTTCCTGTTGCTGCTCCTGCTGCTGCTGCCGTTGTTGGTGTATCCCGTTGCTGCTACTGCTGCAGCGAAGGACCCGTGCTGTTGCTGTCGCTGTTACGGCCCGCTGCTGCTGCTGCTGCTCCTGCTGCTACAGCCCGCTGCTGCTGATCTTTACACGGAATGCTTATGCTGCTGCTGCTACAGCCCAATGCTGCTGCTTACATGCTGCTGCTCCTGCATGCTCTTTCGTTGCTGCTGCTGGTGCTGCTGCTGCTGCTGCTGCTGCGGCGGCGGCAACGACTCTGGGGTGGGGGTTGCAGCAGACGCAGCAGCAGCTAAAGCTGCTGCCAAGCTACCTGCAGCAATCTTGTGGGTTTCTGCTGCTCGTCTGTGGACCTGGTTATACATTGTGTGCGTTGTTGCTGCTGCTGCTGCTGCTGCTGCTGTTGCTGCTGCTGTTGCTGCGACTTTATATCAGGTACGAAGGCCCTGGTCCCGCTGCAGTTTACCTGCGGCCTGTTGGGGGTCTCTCCTAGAGAGCAGCTGAAGTTCTCCTTATGGAGGCGGAGGCTTGTGGTCAGCTGCTGCTGCTGCTGCTAATGCTGCTGCTGCTGCTGCTGCTGCTGCTGAAGTTTGTGTACAAGTTTCGCGCTGCGTATTCTTTGGGGGTCTGAGTCAAGGATGTTGTTAGTTGACGTGATCTGTTTCATTTATTTTCTTGCTGCTGCTGCTGTTGCTGCTTTCTCTATTTCTTTTTCTCTGTGCCAGCCAATCCCCTCCTGATTACAGGGGTTTAGGGTTTAGGGTTTAGGGTTTAGGGTTTGTGTGCAGCAAGACGACAAGTGTGTGGGTGTGGCTTACATGGCTTGCTGCCTCATCCCGCACGAGGTGACGAGCGTCAGCCGTTTGCCGCTGGAGCACAAGTCCAGAAAGAGTGGGGTTTTAATCATAGAAGCTTTTCGCTTTCTACCCAGGATACCTGCTGCTGCTGCTGCTGCTGCTGCTGCTGCTGCTGCTGCTGCTGGTGCTGGTGCTGCTGCTGGTGATGGTGCTGGTGCGCCACAAGCAAATGCAGATCCTGCTGCTGTGGATGCTGCGAAGCAGCAAATACACACACAGATGCAGCAGCGAGCACCGGCAGCAACTCAGCTGCAGCAGCAACTGGCACCCCCCAGGCGATCAGCAGCAACAGCAACAACTGCTGCTGCTGCTGCTACTGGCGGGCTGCACCAGCAGCAACAAGCAGACACGCCTGCTGCATCGATACAGCATACAGGCATCAGCAGCCACTTTGTGGATCTACTGGACCTATTTGACGCTGCTGAAGAGCGTCAGCAGCAGCAGCAGCAGCAGCAGCAGCAGCAGCAGCAACAGCAACAGCAGCAACAGACAGACGAGGAGCAGCAGCTTCCACAAGCTACTCAAACTCCCCTTGCTGCAAGTAGCGAGGTTCTTCACCAGCTGCTGCCGCTAGACCAATCGCTGCAGCAGCAGCTATCTCTCGAGGAGCAGCAGCAGCAGCAGCAGCAGCAGCAACAGCAGCAGCAGCAGCCTTCCTCACAAGAAGAGGGAGCACCGCAGCTGCAACTGCCGCTACAGCAGCTGGCATCTGTAGAGCAGCAGCAGCAGCAGAAGCAAGAAGGATCGCCTCTGCATAGCCAGGGGGCATTGCAGCAAGAGCCATCACAGCAGCAGCAGCAGCAGCAACAGCAACAGCAGCAGCAGCAGCAACAGCACCAGGCATCTGTACAGGAAGAGGGATCGCTGCAGCAGGATGAACAGCAGCAGCAGCCGCTGCAGCAGCGTCGTTCTTATGCTGCTCTGGATGCTCTCTTCTATGCGGACGTTGCTGCTCACTGCAGAGACCCAGCAACAGCAGCGGCAGCACGATCTGCTGCAGCAGCAGCAGCTGCTGCTGCTGACTTGCCCCCGGCTGTAAGGCAAGAGCTGCTGCAAAAGATAACGCAGTCGCTGCCAGAACTGCAGCAGCTGCAGCAGCAGCTGCAGCAGGAAGGCCAGCAGCAGCAAATAGCAGATGGAGCCGCTACACCAGTAGACAAGCAGCAGCAGCAGCAGCAGCAGCCGCAGCCTGCTGATGCCGTCACCCCTGCAGCAGCAGCAGCAGCAGCTGCTGCTGCTGCTGCTGCTGCACCGCCTGGAGCTGCAGCGACGCCTTCTGGTGTCTTGCAGGGGGACCGTCGCTCTGAAGAGCAGCAGCAGCACGAGGCAGCAGCAACAGCAGCAGCAGCAACGACACCTGCAGCAGGGCTCCTCCCTGCTGCTGCAGCAGAAGCACCTCCAGCAGCTTCTCTACCATCGCCATCTGCAGCAAGTGCTGCAGCAGACGCAACAGATATTCAAGAGATATTTGCTGCTGCTGCTGCAGCTGCTGCTGCAGCAGCAGAGTTGCCTGCGGCTCCGATAGAACATCCCGCTGCAGCTTCTCCTGCTGCAGCTGCTCGTGCTGCTGCTGCTGCTGCAGCAAGCGCTGTTCCAGCTGCAGCTGGCCCTGATGTCGCTCCTGCTGCAGCAGGGGCGCCTTCTGCTGCAGCACCTGCTGCAGCTCCTGCTGCAGCTGCTCCTTACACCGCTCCTGCTTCTGCAGCACCCGCTGCTGCAGCTCCTGCTGCTGCAGCTCCTGCTGTCCCGGCACCTGCTGCTGCAGCTCCTGCTGCAGCAGCCCCCCCCGTCGCAGCTCCTGCTGCTGCAGCTCCTGCTGCTGCAGCTCCTGCTGCTGCAATTCCTGCTGCTGCAGCTCCTGCTGCTGCAGCTCCTGCTGCTGCGGCTCCTGCTGCTGCGGCTCCTGCTGCTGCGGCTCCTGCTGCTGCAGCTCCTGCTGCCGCGGCTCCTGCTGCTGCAGCTCCTGCCGCTGCGGCTCCTGCTGCTGCAGCTCCTGCTGCTGCAGCGCCTGCTGCCCCCCCACCAGCTGCTGCAGCTCCTGCTGTTGCAACACCTAGTGTGAAGGGTTTGCTGAGTGCAGGCCAGTCTGCTGCGTCTTTGGACGAAGGCAATGAAGACAGGGGGCTGCAGCAGTGGAAGCAAAGACAGGAGCAGCAGCAGCAGCAGCAGCAGCAGCCGCAGCAGCAGCAGCAGCGGCAGCAGCAGCAGCAGCGGCAGCAGCAGCAGCAGCGGCAGCAACAGGAGCAGCAGGCGCCTCAGTGGCCGACAGGTGGACGTGTTGATGTTGAAACGCCAGCAGCAGGATCAGGGTCAAGTTCAGCTGCAGCAGCAGCAGCAGCAGCAGCAGCAGCAGACACGCCTGCATCAGCAGCAGACTGGCCACCACCCCGCAGGCCTGCAGCATGGGTTCCCAAGCCCCCTGTGGGGAATTTCGTCTTCAAGCAGCAGCAGCAGCAGCAGCGTCAGCAGCAGCAACAGCAGCAGCTGCAGCAGCAGCAGCAACATCAGCAGCACCAGCAGCTGCAGGTTTCACCATTGTCGCAGCAACCATACGTCCAGCCGCAGCAGCTGCAGCTGCAGCAACAACCGCAGCTGCTGCAGCAGCAGCAGCAGCAGCCCGGAGTCCTGTTTTCTCCAGCTGGTGCACAACAGCAGCTGCTGCCGCAACAGCAGCTGCAGCAACAGCAGCTGCCGCAACAACAGCTGCAGCAACAGCAGCTGCAGCAACAGCAACTGCAGCAACAGCAGCTGCAGCAACAGCAGCTGCAGCAACAGCAGCTGGTGCCACAACAGCAGCTGCTGCCACAACAGCAGCTGCCGCAACAGCAGCTGCCGCAACAGCAGCTGCAGCAGCAACCTATGCAGCAACCGCAGCTGCAGCAGCAGCTGCTGCAGCAGCAGCAGAGCTTCCCCCAGCCCATGTGGCCGCAGCAGCAGCAGCTGCTGCAAACTGCACAGCCCCAGGCGCTTCCGCAGCCGATGCAACTGCAGCAGCAGCCGCAACTGCAGCTGCAGCAGCAACCGCAGCAACAGCAGCCGCAGCAGCAGCAACCGCAGCAGCAGCAGCAGCAGCCACAGCAGCAGCAGCTAACAAAGAAACTCTTCAGTGTCTTCAATCCATTCCCAGAAAGACAACGCCCAAAGCCTTCACCCAGTGAACCCGAGCAGCAGCAGCAGCAGCAGCAGCAGCAGCAGCAGCAGACACCACAGCAACAGCAACCGGCACCTGGTCCGCCTCCACAGCAGCATCAGACACAGCAGCAGCAACTACAGCAACCGCAGCAACAGCAGCAGCAGCAGCCGCAGCAGCAGCAGCCGCAGCAGCAGCAGCAGCAGAACACAGAAGGGGAGAAGAAGCGGACCCTCTTCACTCTCCCCTTTCGGCTGCGTCGCGGTGCAGGAGGCAGCAGCAGCAGCGGCAGCAACACTGCTGCTGCGCATACACCTGAAGCCCCTGCTGCTGCTGCTGCTGCAGACCGCCCAGCCTCCGAGGCAGGGAAGCCGGTAGACAACGGCGAGCAGCAGCAGCAGCAGCAGCAACAGCAGCAGCAGCAGCAGCAACAGGAAGAGCAGCGCTTGGCTCACTACTGGCCCTTTGGAGCCCCCAAGGACCCTGCAGAAGCAACAGAAGCAGCAGCAGCAGAAGAAGCAGCAGCAGCAGCAGCAGCAGAAGAAGCAGCAGCAGCAGCAGCAACTGACACTCCTCGGCTCTCATTCCACCGCTTCCCAGTAGAGTTTCCTGACTCTGTTCCTGCAGCAGCAACAGCAAAAACAGCAGCAGCAGCAGCAGCAGCAGCAGCGGGAAAGCCTGCTGCTGCTGTGGCTGCTCCGCAGTTTCCAGCAGCAGCAGATGACGACCCTTTTGAGTTTCACTTTAGGTCCCCTGTGTCTGCTGCAGCAGCAGCAGCAGCAGGAGCAGCAGCAGCAGCAGCAGCACCAGCTGCTCGTCCCCCCTCGCCGCACCGCCAGATCTGGCTGCCCCCTCTGAGGCTCCCCGATGAGCAGCCTGGCGATGAAGAAGAACAGCAGCAGCAGCAGCAGCAGCAGCAGCAGCAGCAGCAGCACGGGTTGCAGGAGGCAGAGTCGTGGTGGGAGCTCCCCGAGCGCGAGACAGCTGAAGCTTCTGAATGGAAGCTGAGCAAGGCGGAGAAGCAAAAGCAGCAGCAGCAGCAGCAGCAGCAGCAGCAGCAACAGCAGCAGCAAACAGAAGCAAGGGGGCGGACATGGCTGCAGCAAGACGTACAGCAGGACCGTCTGCAGCAGGAGTCGCAGCAGCTGCACGAGCAGCAACACAAGCCGCTGCTGCCGGAGCAGCAGCAGCAGCAGCAGCAGCAGCAGCAGCAGCAGCAGCAGGGGGTAGATAAGCAACTGCTGCAGCAGCAGCAAAGCCCCATCGATGAAGATGAGGCAGAGTGCATGCACAGCTGGCAGCGGTCTGTCTCCTTCAGCCCCCTGCCGTCTCTGGGCCCCCCTGGGGGCCCCAGCAGCCACCGCAGCTCTTCTTATAGAACCCCTGCTGCTGATGCTGCAGCAGGTGCTGATGATGCTGCTGATGCTGCTGCTGCTGCTGTAGATCCTGCTGCTGCTGCTGCTGCACAATGCCCTGCTGCAGCAGCAAAACATGGAAAGAAAAAAGACAGCCAGCATGCGTCACGCAAATCCAAACACCACAAAAAAACTTCTGCTGCTGCTGCTGCTGCTGCTGCTGCTGCTGCTGCTGCTGGACAGAGTGCACAGGATGACGGCCTCCCCGCAGACTGGGAAGACGCCTGGTGGGAGGCTGATGCAGCAGCAGAAGAAGCAGACTTGGCAGCAGCAGCAGCAGCAGAGCAGCAGCAGCAGCAGCAGCAGCAGCAGCAGCAGGAGCTGATGCACTGGACCACAGTCCCCCACTCGGGCGTGCACACCGCTGCTGCAGATGCGCCATATGAACAGCAGCAGCAGCAGCAGCAGCAACAGCAACAGCAGCAGCAGCAGCAGCTGGCGCTAGCAGATATGCATCAGCAGCGGCGGGTGGTTGAGGGCCACCACCCTCTTCAGGGGAGTCACTACACCGCCTTTCCATCAAAACTGCAGCAGCAGCAGCAGCAGCAGCAGCAGCAGCAGCAGCAGCAGCCACCTCATGTACAGGACTACGCCAGCCTGCAGCTGCAGTACCCCTCGCAGCAACTACAGAGTATTCAGTCTCAGCAGCAGCTGCATATGCAGCAGCTGCAGCAGCAGCAGCTGCAGCAGCAGCGGCTGCAGGAGCAGCTGCAACAGCAGCAGCTGCAGCAGCAGCAGCAGCAGCAGCAGCAGCTGTTATCAGGACAGGCGTTTCGTTCAGGGGAGGCGCAGCAGCAGGCTGCGTTGCCGCTTCCGCTGAAGGGCCAGCAGCACGCGTGGCTGCAGAAGCAGCAGCAGCAGCAGCAGCAGCAGCAGCAGCTGCAGCAGCAGCAATACACGCAGCAAGGGTTCCCCCCACCTGCGTCTCTGCACCCAAATGTTCGTTCTCCGGTGGATCATCCTTACGCTGCTGGGATGCTGCTGCTGCTTCAGCAGCAGCAGCAGCAGCAGCAGCAGCAGCAGCAACAGCAGCAGCAGCAGCTGGAGAAGCTGCAGCAGCAGCAGGGGCCGATACAGCAGGGGTTCCCGAGCCTTAGCGCCCCTCCTGCGGCGGTGTTTGCTTCGCAGCAGCTGCAGCAGCCACTGCTGCAGCGCATGCAGCAGCAGCAGCAGCAGCAGCTGGAGCTGCAGCAGGAACAGCTGCTGCAGCAGCAGCAAACCGAACAGCAGATGCCAGAGCATTACCCACAGGAGCAGAAAAGCCGCCACCGGCGACGTAAGCAGCAGCAGCAGCAGCAGCAGCAGCAGCAGCAGCAGCAACTGCACATGCAGCACTCAGCATACCCACAGGCATTACTGCAGCAGCAGCAGCAGCCAGGTATGCCCCAGCAGCATTCTTTAGGTGCAAGGGAGCAGCAACAGCTGCAGCAGCAGCTTCTGCAGCAGCAGCAACCTCGGCCCCCACAGCAGCAACTTCCGCTGCAGCAGCTCCCGCAGCAGCTGCAGCAGCAGCTGCAGCAGCAGCAGCAGCAGCAGCAGCTTGCGATGCAGTTTCAGCAGCAGCCAGGGCCTGCAGTGTCTCCCCCCGGGCTGCAGCAGCTGCAGCAGCTGCAGCAGCCGCAGCAGCTGCAGCAGCTGCAGCAGCTGCCTCCGCAGAGCCCTTGGGCGCAGCGATATCAGCTGCAGCAACCGCAGCAGCAGAAGCAACTGCAGCAGCAGCGGCAGCTAATGCTTCAACAGCAGCAGCAGCAACCGCAGCCGCAACAGTACCTGCAGCAGCAGCTGCAGCCGCAGCTGCAGCAGCAAACGGGATGGCCTGCGTTTGTAGGTAAGGCTCAGGTCCCCATGCAGCAGCAGCTTGCGCTGCAGCAGCAGCAGATGCAGCTGCAGCAGCAGCAGCTTCAGCAGCAGATGCAGCAGCAGCAGCTGCAGCAGATGCAGCAGCAGCAGCAGCTGCAGCAGCTGCAGCAGCAAGTGCCTGTTAGCCGCAATCCGTTTGCGCAGCCACGCAGCAGCCGGTTTGCTGCTGGGGCGCATGCAGGTGCTGCTGCTGCTCCTTTTTAGTGCTGCTGCAGCAGAGGCTGCTGCTGCTGCTGCTGCTTCTGTTGCTGCTGCTTCTAGTGGCAGTATGGCTGCCTGAGCTAGACCATGCTTGTGTAGCTAGCTAGCTAGCTAGCTAGCCAGCTAGCTAACTAGCTAGCTAGCTAGCTAGCTAGCTAGCATCCAAGCAGCAAGGCGGCACAGGCTGCAGCGGGATGTTGCCACGCCCGGGGGTGTAGTTACTGCGGCTGCTGCAGCAGCTACATGGACTGCAGCTGCTGCAGCTGCTGCAGTAGCCTCTGCTGCTGTAGCTATAGCAGCAGCAGCAGCAGCTGTAGCTACAGCAGCAGCAGCAGCTGTAGCTACAGCAGCAGCAGCAGCAGCATGCGCTGCTGCTGCTGCTGCTGCTGCTGCTGCTGCTGCGCCCTCACAGCGTAAACCGAGCCAGGTTTTGATAGTCTCTACAGGTATACGAGCTGTCTGTACACTGCAGCAGCTGCAGCAGCAGCAGCAGCAGCATGCGCTGCTCATGCTGCTGCGGGAGCATCACCACCAGCAGCAGCAGCAGCATGCGCTGCTGATGCTGCTGCTGGAGCATCACCACCAGCAGCAGCAGCAGCATGCGCTGCTGCTGCTGCTGATGCTAACGCTAGATACAGAAAGAAAGAGACAGAAAAGAAGACAAGGATAGAGAGAAGAATACAGAGACATAGATAGAGAAAGAGAGACAGAGACAGAGAAAGAGAGATAGAGACAGAGAAAGAGAGATAGATAGATAGATAGATATACATACAAAGAAAGAGAAAAAGAAAAAGATAGAAAGAGACAGATAGATAGAGGCAGAGACAAAGACACTGAGACAGAAATAAATTAAAACAAAGACAACACACACAAAGAAGAGAAAAAGAGCAGAAAGGAGACAAAAAGGAGACAAAAAGGAGACAAAAAGAAGAGAAAAGAGACAAAAAAGAGACAAAAAAAAGACAAAAAGAAGAGAAAGGAGACAAAAAGAAGAGAAAAGAGACAAAAAGAAGAGAAAAGAGACAAAAGGAGACAAAAGGAGACAAAAGGAGACAGAAGAAGTTTAGCCCCCTGGGGAGGAGACAGTTGAAACGCTGCGAGGAAAAGCGGAGACAGCCAGCAGCAGCTCATGTGCAGCAGCAGGCACCCTGCTGCTGCTGCTGCTGCTGTTGTTGTTGTTGCTGCTGCTGCAGTCAATACCGCAGCAGTTGCTGCTGCTGTTGCTGCTGCTGCTGCTGCAGTTGTTACTCCAGCAATGGATGCGCCAAATGCTGCAGCTCTTGCTGCAGCACTTGCTGCAGCAGCTGCTGCAGCTGTTACTGCTGCTAC